TTTTATATCATATTGCCATTCCGTCGTTAGCCAGCGTTTATTGGCAACAGGCCATGTGTATTAAATGTCTTTTGTTGTACAACAAACTGACATAGTGGTTTAAGCATTAGATATTAATGATTGGCACGTGGCAGCACGCACTGTCATGGGAACATTTAGCGTTATTAACCTATGAAGACATATGTTATACAGAAATAGGTTGGGACGAAATGTAAAAAAAAAATGTATTCAGAAAAACGCACGAGCAAATGAAACGAGTATCAGTTAATTAATCTGTTATCAAAAGAAATAATTGACAATCGCTGGGCAAGGTTTAGCTTTATTTTAAAGCCAATTACAGAAACAGCTGGAGAAAACGACAGTGTTGTGTGTGTGTGTGTGTGTGTGTGTGTGTGTGTGTGTGTGGATAAAAAACGAAATTAAAAGAGAAAGAGAACAATCTAGAAGGGAGACAATAGTTCTGTGCAGGAAAAAAAGTTATTAATCTAGAGGTTGTTGACGGTGGCTAAGTCAGGGGCGACACTAGAGGACCCCACTATATTTTAGAGTTTCGATTAGTATGCCTATTTACCTCTTATATGTATGTATATATATATATATATATATATATATATATATATATATATATATATATATACATATATATGTATATGTATTTATAATCATATATATTTACCTACTTATATATATGTATATGTGTATATGTATTACTATGTATATATATATATATATATATATATATATATATATATATATATATATATATACACATATATATATATATATATATATATATATTTCACGAGTTATTTATATTTAGGGCCTACATGATTTCATGTAGACATGTAGATTACAGGTCGCGGTCGCATGACAGCCTACTCCAAAACGGAGGGGAAAAAAATAAAATAATATAATCTCCATAATACTTTTGAACCAAATGATAAGCCAACAGCCCTGCTTTAAAGATACTCTGATGTATTTAGCTTCTATAGGTTTTCATGTACACAGATTCCAAACTCCAATTTCTTTACCCTGATCTGATTTCAAATGTATTGTAAGATAAACAAGTTAATTAAAAAGTCTAGTGACATTTAAGCGCAATTTCCTTATGTTATCTAAAAATAGCTCTGTCGTAGCGTAAATCAAGAGCAGGGTTAGTAAAACCATTGGTTAGTTATTAAAACGTTTTTTATTCATTTTTTTCAGTATTTTACATGTTTTATTTACAATAGAGTTACATGACTAAAAACCATTGCGCGCCTACTGAACGTGATGACGCAGCCATTGAACGTGATGGCGCAGCTATTGAACGTGATGACGCGTGTGGTGTGGTTGGATAAATATGCCTACTAATTCGGTCCAAATTTTAATTAATTGAAAATTTTTTTTGTGACCGAACGAAAGGATATTATTGAAAACTTTCTTCGGCAATATTGTTCTAAATTATGACAGGAATCGATTGGTACATGCTTCAAGTCGCTAAGTGGTCTGGTTGTCGAGATATGGGCCAAAAACTGAATTTTTTCGAGGTTTTTTGGCTTTTCCGGGAAATCCATGAAAGAAACCCGGAATTTTTATGGCCTATGTTCATCCTCGTAACTTGCTTAACATAATTGCTTTGGAACTAGTCATCGATATTGCTTCGTTGAGGAGGAGATACGACTTAAAGCTGCGGACACACATTCATCCATCCATTCATTCATTCATTCATCCATCCATTCCCAGAAATGACGGGTTAATAAACGCAATTCTCCAGAATGGAAATTGCGCTAAAAAGTCTGGAAGAAACACTGCTGGTGAGGTTGGTCCCCCCTCCACGACCGCCATGTGTCAGGGTCCGCGGGGGGACACTGTTTGCTACCCCCCCCCCCCCCCGTTTAATTTAGTGATTGACTTTAATTGCAGTAGCCCATAGTGTCCCCATTGTAGGGCGCTCTTTAAAACAAATATTGCTTTCTTGAAGAAGATCACGTAGACGGTTGTCCATTGTTTATTGACACACAATTTTAAACCCAGAATTGCTTGTAACAACCATAGTTTAAATTGTATTTGCTTAATAAGGTTGCTAATAATATAAATAGTTGTGACTTAATATTGTAGCCATGTAGCCATTACATTTAATACTTTAATTACGTCGTTGTTTTAAGATAAACAATTTGCTTTTAGTGGCAAAGCGAAAATTCCTATGCTGTAAAAATAATTAAAACTGGCATAGAATGTAGATTAGTCTAAACTGCGAATAAACTTTATCTATCTTCTATCTATATATATAAAAAGCAAATGTATGTTTGTGTGTGTGTGTCCTTTATGCATTACTACACCTCTCATCACATCGCCGTCAAACTTTGGGAAGTTGTTGAGAATATTCCTGGGGAGGTTTCTGCGAAAAAAAAATTTCAAATTCGCAGGGGTGGCGCCCCGACAGGGCGCGATTTGTTTTTTTTTCAATATAAGGAATATAAAAATAAAAGTCGATTTTGATTTGGCATCGTTCATCCGATAGCCATGAGACTTTGGGGAGTTCATTATACCACTCTAGGGAAGGGTTCTGTAAAAAAATAATTTTTAATTTCGCAAGGGCGGCGCCACGGGAGGGTCCGATTTTTCTCTATATACGGTATATAAAAATAAAAGTCGATTTTGGTGTGTCACCGTTATCCGATAGCCATGAGACCTTGGGGGAGTTGATAGGGACACTCCGGAGAAGGGTTCTGTAAAAAAAAATCATTTTAATTTCGCAAGGGCGGCGCCACGTGAGGGTGCGTTTTTTCTCTATATACGGTATATAAAAATAATAAAAGTGAATTGCCGTGACACTGTTCACACGATCGCCATGAAACTTTGGGAAAATGTTCAGAATATTCCTGGGGAGGTTTCTGCGCTAAAAACATTTTCAAATTCTCAGGGGTGGTTTTTTTCTTTCTCTATATGTTATATAAAAAGAAAAGTTGATTGCGGTAGCCATCAAACTTCAGGGACTTGATTATAACACTCCAGGAAGGGTTCTGTAAAAAAATCATTTTTATGTTGCAAGGGCGGCGCCACAGGAAGGTGCGATTTTCTCTAAATACGGTTTATAAAAAGTAAAGTCTATTTCGGTTTCACACCGTTCACCCTGTGCCATGAAACTTTGGGGAGATGATTAGATCACTCAATGGTAGGGTTCTGAAAAAAAATAATTTTTTAATATTGCAATGGCGGCGCACCCCGGGTGGGGGGGAGGGGGGAGCTTTTTTTCCACTCTATACACGGTATATAAAAAATAAAACTCGGATGCGGTTCATCCGAGTGCCATGAAACTTTAGGGAGTAGATGAGAATACTCCCGAGAATATTTCTGCGAAAAAGAAAACTAAAGTTTCTTATGGGCGGCGCCATATAGGGTACAGCTTTCGTCAATACACGGTTTGGTCCCCAGAGTTTTAGAGCGACTATGTTGGCACTTGGCATCCGTTAATCGAGCGCCCTGCATAGCGAGTAAGGGGTACTACTATATTCAGCGGTAAAACTACAACAGGCTTATAAAAATAACTTTGTAACGCAAGGAAATCCTTCTGTACAGTTTCGTCACCTTGCGAAAGATGAAAAAATAACTTTTTGAATATGAGGAGCTTACTGTAGAGTTTCGTCACTTTGCGAATGATGCAATAAGCATCTATTATTAGACAATCCAGTCAGAAATTGAGATCGAGAATCTAATAATAGACCATCAGTAACGCTAGCATAGTGCACCAATCACACTGATGTTTAAAACACGTCAAATAATTTTTTTACGTGTTAAAGAAATAAATCCTGTTCATTTGTGTCACTTTAGTGAATGACGAAATCTGCATCATTATTAACAGGAGGCTATTTGGCACGATGGCGCCTGTTAGTTTTAAGGAGCCAGGGGTCGTACGCCGCGCCTATGCGGTAGTGTAATCGGGAGGTGGGGGCCCTGAGAGCGCCCCTCTACGTCTCTGACACAGAGGCGGTCACCGAAGTGTGTTCTACCATATTATTTCGGTGAATGATTAATGTACACTCAATGTTTTCATGCGGTAGTGTAGGTAAACCCGTGTCCCGATATTTATGATCCAAGCTGAGGCATTGTTTACATTTAAATAACTCATTTTTAGAAAAGACGTCACGCGTTTAAGAACATATGATTGGTAATGCATTGGTGATAACCTTCTAATATATTTCGTCAGACTTTCTTCTATCCCGGCGGCAACGCGCGGGGGTCGGGTACGCTAGTTCTTAATATAAATTCTCATACTGGAAACTAATTGAAGAAGTAGAAGAACCTATTTCAAATTATCGTTTAAAAATGCATTTAAACGGAATAATAACATTACTTCGAGGAGATATTCGTGAATTCAGCTTATACATTATCTGTAAATCAAATCATAGGTTTAGCCCTAAAATACGCTTTTATCCAAATAGTAACACACCCTAAATCTTTCATAATTTTTACCATTGTCCAAAATAATATATATTTACTCCCAATCTTCACTGACTAACAGGGGATTTGATATAGATCTCAAGGATAGCAGAAAAGAGAGAATAAAATTAAACAATATTTCTATTTTAAATTAAAAAAAAAATTCTTTAAAATCTCAAACATCTCTTAAATGTAAGCGTGGATAAAAAAAATTGCGCTAATTACACCTTAAATGATTATGCTACAAAATAAATTATGAGGGGTATACTACTACGTCTTGCAGATAGCAATTTTTGCGAAATACAATAAACAATAAAAAGCAACCATTCTGTGGCTGAGATTTAAAAAAAAAACTCGTTGTAATTATAATACAAAAAATGAAGATAACAAATAACGTTGTGTAAAATTTAACTGTAAATAAATCGTATATTTTAAAGAAAAAGTTAAAATTAACCTAGGTAAAAAAATACAAAGCTTGATGAAGCAGTTCCGAGCAAATCTCGCTCAGTCGTCAGTCGCCCAGTTGACCAGGATCACGCCGACAGTTGTTCGGTTCATACGAACTTCAGTCCGCGAAACTTGACCCAGACAATCAAACCTTTGCTCTAACTACTGGCGATTATAAAAGCCTTTCGTGACTGGTGTGTAGATAGGCAGATCTAGAGTTCATAGACTAGATTGTATCCTTGGTAACAGACTGCAGACTTTATTCTCAGCAGACTTTACTCTCAAGATGTCTCAGGTAAAATGTTAAGCTATATATATATATATATATATATATATATATATATATATATATATATATATATATATATATATATATATATATATATACATGTGTGTGTGTGTGTATTCATAGAACATTTCTCTCACAACCTCTAATTTTTTCCCGTCTGCCATATATCTTCTTAATCGTATCCCGCCACCATGTACATTACGCCTTATACAAATACTTTATTTATGAATATATATATATATATATATATATATATATATATATATATATATATATATATATATATATATATATATATATATATGTATGATATAATAAATAACATATCAGCCAGAGTTATGTAATATTATTTTCAGATGATGACATGTTTGCTGTTGATTGTGGGAGTGATCAAACTTGGTCAGTGGTTGTTTTCTTGACATTTCACGACCTTTGATTTTAATAAACCGGGAGTTATCTCCCCTAAACTTTCTCGAATATTCTTATATAAAACAATAGGGCATGGGAACTCGGGCTATAGACATGATTTTCAATCCATTTTAAATACTTAAAGTTTTAAAAATAGAATAAAATCTCGTAGACAAAAGAATTGCACACCAAGTGAACGCCAAATAAAAAAGTGCATAATAGTGCGCAATATTATTAGTACTTTAAAAATTTACATTACTTTTTTGAGAAATCGGAAGTAGCGTAAATTACTACTTCCGTTCATAGGAAATTACTCAAAGTTTAACAGAAGGTAGAAAATTTGATCTTTTACTCACATGTGAAATTTTCATTTATCTATCTGAAAAAGTACTCAAGTTATAGGCTTTTGAAAAATTCAAAGTAGGAAAAGTACCACTTCCGGTTATCGGAAATCGCTCAAAGTTGATACGGATTTACGATTTTGATAAAATACTTATATATGAAATTTCATCAACCTAGCGGTAACGGTACTCAAGTAATCGTGTTTACACACAGACACACACACAGACACACAGACAGACACACAGACATACGGACAGAATTGCAAAGCCCAGTTTTTCAGACTGGATTACGCATAAAACCTCTTAATTTTGATAAATCTGGATTGATAATTTTTGCCCGATTAAAATAAGTCCTCTATACTTCAGATGTGATGAAGGACTGAGGTGTAATACGGTGAAAATTGTTAAAATTTCAAGTGATTTTTGTGCACGATTACAATACTTTCTCTTTACTTCGTATATACGAGAAAGTAAAAACCAGTACATCAGCAATACTTTTGTAGCGGACAAAAAAATCTGAAAAAAAAACTAGTAGATATTTCTGAAAAAGAATCGTCCGTATAATCTAAACTTACCAAGTACTTAAACAGTGGTTTAAGTACTATAGGTCTATTTACTGTAGTTTATTCAAAATAAAATACTCTCATTTGTACTATTGTATTGTCTCCGATGTGTACATAATTAGATTAAGAGGAGTTCACAAGTATATGATAATTGTATTCAGTATTACACATTTTAATGTACTGGGTGGTAATAGAAAAAGGTTGTGTCGTGATGGGTAGTCATAGTCAACCTGTTGCTTATATGCTACTGTGGTTCATGGATTAAAGCCCGTTTTTCTTCGCCGAGTCCATATATCTTATAATGAAATAACAACAAATTGCTTTTTTTTTTGCTACAAAATACTTTCATATGAAGAGCATAGACTGAAATTGCACCAAAAAGTGCATATATTTTTAAAAGGAACAAATCGCCTTAAAAGTTTTATACTGTAAAGATATCTCTACTAATGAAATTTAGGAATAAGGCATTTATATTTCCTTTACTTTTAAGCTGATTTCAAGGAAAAATACTAAGCATTCTAGACCTACATTTCTGATACTTTAAAACAAATTTTAAGTAACAAATCTTAAGAAAGGCAAAAAAAAAAAACCCATTTTTTTTAACACAGCGGCCAGTGCCAGACTTGCCGTGTCCGGCAACCACTTCACGTTCAACGGTCAAAGAGTTTTTCTCTCCGGTGGTAATCTCCCCTGGATAGCGTACGCCCACGACTTTGGTGACCATCAATGGGCGAGCCGTAGGTCCCAGTTCGACTCACAGATGAGACAGTTAAAGGCTGCGGGAGGCAACTCACTCAGTAGGTGTTATCTGTTCTTGTAACATCCAGTAGCGTAGCGAAGGGGGGGGGCGCCAAAATGGGTTGGAAAAATAAATTGAAAGGTTGAGGGGGGTGTAAATCGAAAGTTTGAGGGGGGGGGGGGGTGCAAATGGAAATCTCGAGGGCGGGTGGAAATCGAAAGTTTGAGGGGGGGGTGCAAATCAAAATCTTGAGCGGGGGGGGGGGGTGCAAATCGAAAAGTTTGTCCCCGGGCGCCGGGAAGGGTCGCTACGCCTCTGGTAACATCTAAGTACAATTTCGTTTCTTTATTAAAAAAATTAAGCCTCCATTTTTTATTGCTTTAATTATATGGTTAGTGCTGTATACTGCATCACAAAAACAATAAGTGAGGAAATGAATTTTCTCATTTAGGATTATGGGTACATATTCAGGGAGAAACAACTCCTGCGTTTGACGGTAACGGCTATGTTACGGCCCCTGATCATCAGGGAACGTTCATCAATGATTTCCATGACATGCTCAACTTAGCACAGAGGTGATTAAGATAAGTATAAGACTTGATAGAAGTCGAGTAGCATCAGTATAGGATTTATCACAGACGGGAGTAGGGCAGCATAGCACTTGTCATTAAGGTGGGCAGCATAGCACTTGTCATTAAGGTGGGCAGCATAGCACTTGTCATCAAGGTGGGCAGCATAGCACTTGTCACAAATGTGGGCAGAATAGCACTTGTCACAAAGGTGGGCAGAATAGCACTTGTCACAAAGGTGGTTTGGGAAGCATAGCTTTTGTCAAAAATGGTGGGTAGGGTACCATAGCACTTGTCATTAAGGTGAGCAGTGCATCTTTATACTAAATGAGCGTTGATTCAACAGTGGAAATAGATTTTAAATATTAACTCTTCAAAAATACATTAGTTTATTTGTAAATTTACATACAACGACTTATCTTCACACTGCGATCTTTTGATTCATCTTTATGCTGAGCGATTTATTATTTGTTTTTGTTACATTTTAATTACAACTCTAAACATTTTGATACATTGACTGTCATTGACTATAGTCTTTGTGTAATTTATTTGTATGTTTTTGGCTATATTTCAATAGAACTTAGTTCTCATTTTGTCATTGACCTACTTACCTCTCCAGCCATGACCTACTTGTGTTCCCCACCCTCTGGAATGCCGCCGTCGACCAAGACAACAGTCACCGTCTAGACGGCCTCATCGTGGACAGCCGGAAGTTACAGAGCTACATCGACAAGGTGTTAACTCCCCTGGCCACAGCGGTCAAAGGTCATCCCGCCCTGGGAGCCTGGGATATCATGAACGAGCCAGAAGGGATGATTAACCCGGAAGTGGTCTGATATTTTTAAAATTTTTATAGTTACTTTTTGTGTCTATATTTTGTAGGCTTTTGTCTAATAGGGAACTTATTCCATATATGTATATATATATGACATATTTTTTGACATGTTAAAACACATATTTATATTTAACAGAGTAACTCTGATCACTGTTTTGATTCAACGGCTCTAAGAAACAGTGGTGCTGGATGGGCGGGTCGCAAATACAACTACCATGATATGATTAGGTAAAGTACACAACCATAATAGTGATCAGCAATACCACATCCAAGTGCATTGTAGTTTAAATACAAATGTCATTTTAGATAATGTAGGCCTATTCCTATTGCGCCTTTATTTAGAGGGTGGGGTAACACTAAACAATAAAACCAACTGAATCTAAGATACCGTGTGATATTAATTTAAATAAACAAAATTTTCGTTTATGAATAGTGTGGGCGAATCTATCCTAATTGCTAAGGTAGATATAAATATTGGTTGCATTAAGTGCTGGTAGCACCTAACAGTATCAAATAGCTACGGTGACTTCATTGGATTTACAAGAGAACACTGTCAAATCAAAGATGCTGTTTTTTAAATTAATTAATTAAAAAGATAATGCAGAGGCGTAGCGAGGGGGGGGGGGGGCGGGGGAGGGTACTTATGTCCCCGGGCGCCGACCCTAGGGGGCGCCATTATGGGTTGGAAAAAATTAAAAGCTTATTTTAGCTGCAGTTTTGCATTATAAATATAAAAAATATATGGGGGGGGGGGGGCTACAAATTGAAAATTTGTCCCAGGGGGGGGGGGGGGGCAAATTGAAAGTTTGTCCCGGAGGGGGGGGGGGGGGGGGCAAATTGAAAGTTTGTCCCAGGTAAGGGTCGCTACGCCTCTGAGCTAATGACGATTGGTATCGTGTCCCAGGTTCATCAACTGGCAGGCGGCGGCCATCAAAAACGTGGACTCTGGTTTCCTGGTGACGGTCGGTTCCTGGAACCCCAAGTCTAACACGGACAGGATGGGCTTTGTTGACCACTACAGTGACGCCTGTCTGGTCAAGGGAGGAAAGGGCAACGTGAGTTATCCGCTCTTGCACTAAATCAATATGGCTACTCCTGTGCTCAGAGAGTGCGGGATTTTTCGCCAGAAAGTTTCAGAGTTTCTTTCAAGCGTCTCTTCTTTTAACCCCCCCCCCCACCCCCATTTCTTCCGGTGTATACCTCCACCCTACCCCAACCTGACAAAATTGTAAAAATGTATAATTTGTATAAAGATGTACCTTAACAAAGCCCTCCCAGAAACTTAAGTCGCCACCGCTACCCGAAAGTCCATATGATTCAATCACCCCCACCCCATCCACACCCCATCCGAAAGTTCAATCTCCACTTTAAAGAAGACTAGATTTTGAGAAGCTTAAGTCACTCACCTCTAGTTACTAGATTGCTTCATTAACTAATGTACGTAATATATTATCATTATTCTTTTAACTTTAAAAATAATACAATAATTGATTCTTTTTTGTTATTCAGGGAAAGGTTGACTTTTACCAGTTTCACAGTTATTCCTACAATGGCCAGTTCGACAGTATTGCCCCCTTTAAGGTACTCTATTCTATCAGATAATAATTGTAGAAATAAAATACATCTTTTAAATATTTAATTGAATAAAAAAACAGAGACTATTTTTGAAAAGGTAAAACAGAATGCAAATGAAGATACAGCATTTGTTCCTTTTTAAAGTATAAACTGGAATTTAATAATTTAAGTTATTCTTTCACACCTTTTTAAAATAAATTGTTTGCTTTTATTATTCGAATTTATGAAAATTCTATGGTAATTTAATGTATCCTGCCTACGTATATGTGTTTTTTAAATTCCGTATTAAATTTCTATTTTATGTAATTATTATTTTGTCACTTGATTAATTCCCAGCATTCAGCGGGTGACTATGGAACCGGAAAACCAATCGTTGTGGGAGAGTTCTGGGAACAAGATGGCGGCGGCATGAATATTAATCAGCTGTTTGATTACGTGTACAACCACGGGTACGCCGGGGCCTGGAGCTGGGACCTTGTGGCCCACGGGGCCAACCAGAGGGGCGGCATCAGCCACATCAAAGGCTACACCAACAACGGCGTCATACCAATCAACGTCTAGCGCTTGTTTGATAATCAATTTCGGCTATTTTCAAAAATGAAATAAATATTTATTTTTAAAAGAACGTTTTAAGGTTCCTTTGTTTTATTTATTTGTTAGTAATATATTGTTATAAAATAAAATAAAAATGATCTTCTTTTTCGTTCTTAATTTAATTTTTTTTTAAAATGATGATTTTCGGAATATAATCCTTAACAATTTTCTAAAAAATAATTTAATAAACATTTAAAACTTTTGTGTACACGGAGTACAGAGGACTCGTCGTATTTGGGCAAAAGCCGAAATGGAGATTTTGACATCGCGTTTTCAACTTCCAGGCAGAAAAACTTAGTCACCCAATAGTGTCTGTCTTTTTGTTGAACTTGAATACTGATTTTGTTCGGCTGACGAAATTTCATATAGAATATGTGGATCCAGTTTGTAGTTTTCTATTTTTTATGTACGAATATCACAAGCCGATAAATTGAGAACTATTTAGTAAGGTGGAGGGAATTTCATACGCTGGTCGCAGTCAACTTTTGGGTGAATTTGGTTAACGGAAGTGGTATTGAATTCTACTTTCCTGTAAACACTGGAACTTGAGTACCATAAATAACTATTAAATCTTGTACCGACGTTTATATCAACGTTTGCGCGATTTACAGTAACCGGATTGAGTAATTTATTTCAGATTTCTAAGAAATCTTTATAACTTGATAATTTTATAATATATTTTCATGAAGCAGCTTATTGTAAGAACTTTTGGCTTTTTTGTGTTTTATTTGAAAATTTAAGGTTTTGTACAAACCGATATTTCTAGAGTCCGATTCCACTGAAATTGCACATTCACACCCTTACTGTTAATTTAAAATATACGAGAAAGTTAGAGAGAGCTCACTATTGCTTTATTTTAAGATATCCCTAGTTTTCAGTTGTCATAATTTCTTTCGTTTTTTTTAATTTTACTTTTTTTTTAGAAATATTTTATCAATACCCAGTCTGTTAGTAATTATTTATTTATTATTTATTTTATTTTTTATCAGTTGTTTAAACTTTACTTATCAATTCTCTCTATATTTTGGGTTTTCATTAAAATCAGATTTTAAAGGTTTATATTCAGTGGCGGAACTAGAAAAAATGGGCCACCCCGCAAAAATTTGTTTTGGGCCCCACCCATATATTTATATATATATATATATATATATATATATATATATATATATATATATATATATATATATATATATATATATATATATATATATATATATATATATATATATATATATATATATATATACAAACACACAATACGAACATAGGATACTCATTTCTAGCCTGACCGGGTTCAGAAAAAAGAAATTCAATTAAATCTTATCACAACAACATGTCATGTGTATGAGTGCATTGGTCTGTTTTGAAAATCTGTTTTCATTTATGTTTGCCTTAATACTGCCAATCATTAAGTCGGTCAAAAGTATATAAATCATGAAGCTTTGTATAAGTAATGGTGTCTCGTGTTATGTTTATTTTTATGTTTTTTTGTATTTATATTATTAATTTTAACTACACTTCATTTTTAAACTATACCATTCTTTAGTACTTTTTTAAAAATAATAATTAAGATAAGTAATTGTTATTTAATTTAATTATTACAAATCTATTAAAAGGAGCTTATGAGCAGCCCTATTTGACTATCTGAAAAAGGGAAATAATTTATTGAAGTGGTTTGAACGTTTGCCTATCTTTCACACTACAGCTTATGTGTATATTTTAAAAAAAATTTTTATGCAACAGCATGTCTTAGCTACTATATAACATCACTAATGTATTAGATCTGTTTGTTATTTACAAAACCACTATCAAGGTGCCAGTGACGAAACTAATATATATATATATATATATATATATATATATATATATATATATATATATATATATATATATATATATATATATATATATATATATATATATATATATATATATATATATATCATTCGTGTATTTTTTTGAGACATTTGCCTTGTTTTCTAGAACAGTGGTTATTAAATGTAAATAAACCGGGAGTGATCTCCCCTAAACTTTCTCGAATATTCTTATATAAAACGACAGGGGATGGGAACTCGGGATATAGTTATGATTTTTAATCCATTTTAAATACATAAACTTTTTAAAATAAAATAGAATCTCATAGAAAAAAGTATTGCACACCAAGCGAACGCCGAATAAAGATGTTCATAATGGTGCGCAATATTATTAGTACTTTAAAAATTTACATTAGTTTTTTTAGAAATCGGAAGTAGCGTAAATTACTACTTCCGTTCAACGGAAATTACTCAAAATTTAACAGAAGGTAGAGAATTAGATCTTTTACTTACATTTGAAATTTCATTTATCTATCTGAAATAGTACTCAAGTTATAGGCTTTTGAAAAATTCAAAGGAGAAAAAGTACCACTTCCGGTTATAGGGAAATCGCTCAAAAGTTGATACGGATCTACGATTTTGATAAAATACTTATATCTGAAATTTCATCAACCTAGCTGTAACGGCACTCAAGTAATCGTGTTTACACACACACACACACACACACACACACACACAGACACACCGACATACGGACAAGATTGCAAAATTATGTTTTTCCGTATCAGTGAGGTGTAAAACGTCGAGATTTGTAAAAATCTCGATTTTTTTTTTTTTTGCACGATTTCAATACTTTCTCTATACTACGTATATACGAGAAAGTAAAAATATCGGCACTTTATTTCTTGGATATTAGTTGTTAGAGCGCTATTTTGTCAACACTACCACCGATTCGAGCCAGCTTAGTTGTTGAGGCGCTATCTATTCGCTTCTTGTAAGGCTAAGAGCGGGAGGGGAGGTCTGAGAAAGGAACTTAAAAGGGACAACAAAGCGCCGATGTGCTTTTATCCATCAGTACCAAATTTGGGATGGTCTCAAAAAGCCGTCTTAATATCTACCGGCCTCTCGCGCATTTTGATGTTTTTTTCAAAAGAATTTTGCTAACAACAGCGTGTGTTCGATTGTAGGAAAAAGAATATACAAGAACGTGGGATGGTGTCTATAGAATAAAGATACTCCAACCGCAGCTACAGTATTCTTTTTTTCAAAACAACTAGATCTATCAGGTCAAAAATGCAAGAAAATTAATTTTAACTATAAAAAAAAATGATTATGGGCGGCTGTAGTTCCGCCCCTGGATCATTCTATCCTAAATTTGATTAACTTTAATGTATTTAGTGTTAATATAACTAATGTTCAATTAATACGTGTACTAATTATAAAACGATTAATAATATAAAGACGAGTCTTACCTTCCTTGTTTGAATTAGATTCGTCAAACAAAATACTTCATCAGGTAAATGAACAACTACTGACTAGTGACTAGATCTAGTGTCTTTAACAAAATGTGCAGAAGTGGACAGTTTACAATTCAGTTGTTCATAAATGGTTCGTTAATCTATGCATTACATCTTATTGTAAGAGTAAGGGTGTGGTGAGGGGTAGAGGTGAGGGGTAGGGGTGAGGGGGGGATGAGGGGGAGGGGAGAGAGTTGGGAAGGTTCAAGGGAAGGGGACAAGAAAGTGCCTATACACATCTACATCAATAGTGCCGACTTTTCCGGTCGTCTAGAAGACCAGGATAGTCGCCGCAACATTTCCCCAGCCCGATTTCAAAGCGTACCGGCACAGACAAACTTCAGACGCTTCGCTAAAGGGAGATAACTTAAACTTTTACAAATTTATTGATACAGTTGTTAAATTGAAAATGAACGCAATTATAAATGTATGAGATCGAAATAAATAATTATATTTTTTTAGAATTCAGGCCAGTAGTTTAAACACGCAATCATAGATATGTATTTTAATAATGTAAACAATATAACAATGCTTTTTTGTTCTCCTAATCGACGCCACTAAAAAGAACGGTAGGCTACGTCTTTGAAGTTGTCTATATGTCTGGCGGTCTCTCGAGCTATAGTCTGTGCATTTTTTCTCAAAGACGTTTGCCGACTATCATGTTTGTTTGTAACTGTAGAAGAAAGATAACTCGACCTCCACCTAATTTTTTTAAAAAAAATTTTTAATTTAATTTTTTTTTTAAATTTTTGTTTTTTACATTTTTTTTTTAAATTTTTTTTTTTAAAATAATTTAGCCAGGATTTTTGGGCCCCCAATCGGTATGGGCCCCCCCGCATTGCGGGGTCTGGCGGCACTGTAGTTCCGCCCCTGTTTATATTTAAACCAGTATTTTTGTTTGTAACTCCGCTGATCTTTGAATATTAATTTAACCCACTTGCCGTTGTCCGATTGATCTAAAATTTGGCAGAGTGGTATATCTTGGGCGGCAATGCAAGAGTATCTATAACAAACGTGTTTTCAGATCAAAATCGTCTATCTAGATCTGTTCAATATCAAAATACTGAATTGAATTTTATCTACGACGCAACATCTCAGACTGAGAGAGTCTTCAGTTAGTTTGAAGGACATGCACACCTTTACAACGTGTTCTGGTGACAAGCCAAAATTCAAAGTGTTTTTAACTCAATACAGGGGCGGTAGACCTAGCGTGGAAATATAAACAATCAACAGTCACACTACAAAACAAAATTTAAAAGCTAACACAGTCACACTACAACAAAAAAACTTAAAAACGAACGCAGGTCAAGATAAGGAAAACAAGAGAAGAAACAGCTGTCTATGTTTGAATGTTGTCCGACGTTCTGTTATACTCTAATCACGACCCTCGTGCACCGTAAGTAAGTCAGCGACATACCGTGGTTAATTTATGCAAAACATAACCTTTAACCTTATAGAACCTGGGAAATTGTGTTGTTGAAAGTAAACTTTAAGTTGTTCTCAGACACGCGTAGTTTGGAATATTTGTTTATAAATTGTAGCATGAAGGATGTTTTGAAAAGCTCATCAGCTGTTTAGCATGTAAAGTGTTGTAGTAGTCGTTCGCCAGCCCATCCACTTGGATGTAAAACGCGTGAATAGCAGTCCTGACAACTTGATCCTGTGCTAGTACTTCTGTTTCCAATGGTAACCACTCTTTTTCGAGGACTTGGTCATTACCCTGACAATTACCCCCCTCCCCCCCCGTCATAATGACTCTATTTAACCAAACCTATTGAACCCTGTAGATATCTCCAGCAATTTCCAATCCTCCAATCAATTAACATTCACATCATCAAAGGTGGGGAAATACTTTACTTCATCAGGGGTGGGGGGGGGGGGGGATACTTTACATTATCATGTGTGTAAGGACAGTTGAAATCATCAGGGGTGCACACTGCTAGGTGTGACACGAAAGTCTTCCCATCCAATTACGGCATGTCCCAATTTAGGTGTGTGTGTGTTGGGGGAATTCAGGTATGTGTTTGGGGAGGGGGGTAACCCACTAACATCAACAATAGACTCAGTTATAACAGATCCCAGATGAGGACCTGTCTTCAAATATCACTGGATGACGGTACTATTAGACTGTTACGGTAGGCCCTACCCGTCGCCCGTTCATCAAAAGCCTGTCATTATCCTAAGTAGCAAGTACAGCTGTACCGAGGGACAAGTAACAACAAATTGAACCAAAAGATAGGACGCCACAGATAAGCTACATCATGCTTTAAAAAAATCACTGTCACCAACTCATGGTAAAACAATACTTTTTTGTGTATAAATAATTTGTCTAAAAACGTTCAAATATTGCAACGGTTAACTTAGTAGAACTGATTTTCTTCCAGTGGATAGACCCGAGGATTTAAGATGAGGTATTGTTAAATTTAAGTAGTTTAATGTATTAAGTTTAAATAATGTTATAGGTTATGTGTGTCTGTTTTTACTTTATTTTTGATTTTCATTTAATCAAAAATAAGTCATCAAAATATGGTCCTAAATATTAAATTTAGGTCAAACTCATGAATGAATGAATAATTTTGTGTACGTATACCTACATCAGTAGTAAATACAGAACAATACTTTTTAGATGCATAAAGTATTGTTTAAAACTTTTCCCAAAATCCCTCCCCCTTCTCCCCTCAGAAATAAAAATGTAATAGGTTCCATTAAACTGTTTAGAAAATGCTTTTGTATCAATTCAACGACAACTGTGGGTTTTTTTTTAAAATTATAAAATGAATAATATACTCCCCTTCTACAACTTATCCCCACCCCACGCTCCACAGGCTTCTAGTTCTTGCCTGTACCCTGTCGTCTGTTCTACTCCTGGCTCGTGCTGAGGTGGACGCCCCCATCACCCAACACTGGAACGGCGGGTTCCTGGGGGAGGCCTGCATTGACATCACACAGGAGCTGCATTCCTGGACCATGACCTTGACCTTCGACCAGCCACTTAGCAGTTTAACCGTGAGTCTGGGTGGTTTTGTTGATTTTTATCAAAACTCTAACAATATATTAGCAGATCGAGATTTCTCTGTTCGGGTGAGAGTTAGTACTTTGAATAGGGTTCAGGTTAGGGTCAGATCCCTGGAAAACTCTTGAGGCTTATGTTCCAGATGGAGCAACAGCCTAACCTAGCCTAGCATAGCCTAGCCCAGCCTAGCCTAGCCTAGCCTAGCCTAGCCTAGCCTAGCCTAGCCTAGCCTAGCCTAGCCTAGCCTAGCCTGAACCTAACCTAACCTAACCTAACCTAACCTAACCTAACCTAACCTAACCTAACCTAACCTAACCTAACCTAACCTAACCTAACCTAACCTAACCTAACCTAACCTAACCTAACCTAACCTAACCTAACCTAACCTAACCTAACCTAACCTAACCTAACCTAACGTTGGGTTCAGGTCTAAATTCAGAATAAGGGTAGTCATAATGATAAGAACGAAGGTAGGAGTTAGAATCATGGCTAGGCTTAAGTTTAGGTTTTTATTGCTATGGCCAGGATAAGGGTTAGGTAGCTATGTTAGAAACAGAAAAGACCTACCAAAGGTCTTGAAATATTCTAAAGCATAGCGTAGTGCAGGGGTCTCCAAACTTTTCAGTCCAAGCGTCGCATTACCTATCAAATTTCAGTTCGGGGGCCAGTTTCTTCCAGGCATGTCTTTGATTTTTCTGGGCAAAGTCCCTCAGCCATCATCAACAAACGTTTTTTTCCCGTGGACAAAATGATCTTCGCGGGCCGGATGAGAGGACCTCGCGGGCCGCATCCAGCCCTCGGGTTGTAGTTTGGAGACCACTGGCGTAGTGTGTTACTCTTTTGATTTGCACCAGAACTTAAAACATTCTAAAGCAGTGTTTCTTAACCTGGGTTCGATCCAACCTAATGGGTTCGGTGAGTCAGTCACTGGGGTTTGGCGGATGCGGACACTAGAATTATAAAGAGGGTTTGGTGTGGTTCTGTAAAGGTTAAGATCCACTGTTCTACAGCATAGTGTAGGGTGTTGTGTACAATTCGATAAAATTCTTCTCTAGGCCTTCCAAGCGGACGTAGCAGAGAGCAAAGATGGCGGTAAAGTTTACATCCTGCACAACAAGGACTGGAATAAAGATGAGCATGTTGGTGATAGGCTGTGTGTGGGGTTTCAAGGCGCTAGTGAGTAATGTGTGGGGTGGTGTGTGTGGGAGGGGGTGTGGGGGTTGTGGTGGGTAGTGTACGTAAGTAGTGACTAAGGGGTAAGTAGTGGATAGGGGTAATTTGTAGGTAGGAAGAGGATGTGATGTAGGGGAGGTAATTTGTAGGTGGGAAGAGGATGTGATGTAGTGGAGGTAATTTGTAGGTGGGAAGAGGATGTGATGTAGGGGAGGTAATTTGTAGGTAGGAAGAGGATGTGATGTAGGGGAGGTAATTTGTAGGTAGGAAGAGGATGTGATGTAGGGGAGGTAATTTGTAGGTGGGAAGAGGATGTGATGTAGGGGAGGTAATTTGTAGGTAGGAAGAGGATGTGATGTAGGGGAGGTAATTTGTGATTAGGGTAGTAGTCATTAAGTAAGACCGGAAACATTTCGGTAGGGAGGTAACTGTTGGGGGGAAGGGCATTGAGTAGCGGGAAATAACAATAACGAATGAGGAGAGAATTTTGCTTACTCGTAAGAGCAGTAAGATGGGAAATAACTCAGCTTACTCAGACGGACATGCAGTGGCGTAGCGAGGTCGGGTGTCACCCGGTGCGGCACTTAATGGTGTCACCCCCCAGAGGCGTAGCGATCATTCCCGGGGACAAATTTTCGATTTGCTCCGCCCATCAAACTTTTGATTTGCACCCCTCCCCTCAAGTTTTCGATTTGCACCCCCCCCCCCTCAAACTTTCGATTTGCACCCCCCCCCCTCAAGTTTGTCTCTATATATTTTGCTATTTTTTTGCCTTGGTGTCACCCCCCTAAATGGTGTCACCCGGTGCGGTCCGCACCCCCCCCCCCTCGCTACGCCTCTGCGGACATGTATTGCTAGCCCTAATTCAAAGGCAAAACATTTAGTTTCTGATCTTCTTCTTCTTCTTCTTCGTTCTTAATTGTGAATATGGTGGAGGATTCAGACAACAAGTCCAACTTCGTGGACAAACCGGACTGTGGTCTCCAGTTTGTCAGGTGCCCCATATAATTTTTCCCTGAGTGGGGTGGGCTGGGGCCAGTGTCTGTCTCGTGCCTGGCTATACAAAGTACATTCCTGGAGTACGTGCTCCGTGTTTTCCGGGGCCTTGCCACAAGGGCACATTTCGCTACACCCAACCTTCAGTTTTCTGTGCATGTGTTGATTTAATCTGTTGTGGCCTGTTCTAAGTCGAAAGATTATGTATTGTTGTTTTCGTGTTAAATTATAATAGCCGTCGTCTTTAATGTAGTGAGGGTGTGTGACAGACCACATTGCGTTTGTTTGTTTTTTATTATTCTTTTTATTTCTTTTGGGTGTAGCGAAATTTCCGGTTGTGGTTTCTTTCCCCCAATTTTTGCCAGCTGGTCTGCAATCTTGTTACCCTGGATCTGGCAGTGGCCCGGGATCCACTGCAGCACAATTCTGCTGCAGGTGTTTTTTAGCCTCTCTAGTGCTGTCATAAGTGTTTGAATATGGGACTCTGGATTTTGTAGGGATTGCAGGACTGATTTGGCATCTGTAAGAAATACAATCTGACTATTCGCTGATTCAGGGTGTTCTGACAGGAGTTTTGCTGCATGTTCTTAGTTTCTGATGAATACATACATTTTTTCCTCAGTAAACGGAGACGTCGTCCCCAAAGTTACAGCCAGTATTCAAGGTATGGACGGAGGGAGTACGGGTGTTGCCACACAACCCCCTAGCACAGGTAAACATATACTCCAGTCTTCCTACGTTTGATTCAGTGTATAGAAACAGATCGATGGCAAACCTATACAAAACAGAATTGGGGGGGGGGGGGTTGGAACTGTACAGAATAGCAGTAATCAGGTAGAGTGTCTGGTCGCTAGTTAGACTTGGTTCGATTACTGTAACAACGCGTATTTGTCTATGAGACCATTCGATGTTATTGTGAGTTCTTTCAGTCACTCGATAAGTTTAACCATCAGCTTTTGTAAGTCAAGAACATTTGTTACTGACAAGAGGTGTCATAACCACGCTCAATGCATTCGTGTAAAAACTGGCAAACTCTGTTTTTTTTCTGCAGTCTTTCTGCTTTTTTTTTTTGTTTTGCTATGTTTAATTGTCGAGAAATATATTTACACAATTTTCTTCTAAACGTTGATTTTTGTGTGCTTAAACTGACGCTTGTCTTCTTGCAAAAAAAAAATGTGTTAAAGAAAGATCAAATATACTAAATTGATTCCATTTGCTACGGACACTTCTGATTTGGTTTAGGTTTATAAAGCTCTATGTAAAAGAGAGGTTTAGAGTATTTTATTTTTTCGGTTAGAGGGTTTGGATATGGATTAACAATTTAAACATAGGAAAGCCATTCTCCTGTTTATGAGTAATCTATAAAACGAACGTTCATATTTTAATTGTCTTATATTTTCTCTATTTTATTTTTTGTTTTACTCAAAAAAATTATTCTATATTTCATTTTAGGACAGACATCAGGGCCCGTTGGTAAGTGATACACCATTTTTAATCTATATGTATATAAGCAAAGTTGTCAATAGGGGATATAACAATTTTCTTTCAAGTGGTTGTTTATAATGTACGAGCCGGCCCGCGGCATAACATACGCCGCTATTTAGTGGTTTCTAATTTTCAATAATTCATAATTTGTGAATTCGACAGTACCAACGCTGACACTGAAAATATTTCTTTAAAACACTATAAGTAGCTCGTTAAGGACCATAACCCCCCCCCTTCCTTCCCCCCCCCCCCTACGTTTAAAATCGTTGGCTCTGCTTGTAAACATTTAGAGTGAACACAGCTCACTAAAACCATGTAGGGGTGGGGAGGTAGGGAGAGCGTTTGCAGCTTGTTTTCTAACGGCTCGAAGAGGAGAATTATATATATAGATTCATGTAGGGCAGTTCATCTGTTGCTGTGATGTGGGTAGAGTGGTATAAGTTCTACGCCCAGCCACCTTTGTTTTCCCTTAACGTAAGGCGCGTTCCTATCGGTAATGGGTGCCCTAAGGGACGTTATACGGACATGAATTATGGATTCGAACTTGAGACTTTCAGGGCGGTAACACCATCTGCTCACCCACAAATCTTTTAAATTTATCTAAAAAAAAAACGGTGGATAATCAAATAATCTAAGAAATAAGAAAGGCTCATGCTTTTTCAAGATTAAAATTATATATGTAACATAATAGCTATCGTTTAGCAATAGTGTGGGGGTTAGTGTTTTACACTAAAGTTATATAGAGTAATATTTTTAACAAAATTTATTCAAAATCCCATAAAAATCTAGCTAAAATAGTTTCTCGGGTTAGTCAATGTTGATGCAAGTAGTAATATAATTTCTCATGTTTATTCAATGTTGATGCTAATACCAAAATGTTTCCTCTCACACCTCAGTGACCTCCACATCAGGGGCGAGGCTACAAATTGAAGGCAACCACTTCACCTTTGGCGGTCAGAAGGTTTTTCTGTCTGGGGGTAACCTCCCCTGGATCAGCTACGCCTATGATTTTGGTGATGGCCAGTGGGGGAGCAGAAAGTCTCAAATGGAGGACCAGTTCAAGAAACTACACGAGGCAGGGGGGAACTCCATGAGTACGTTGTTCTAAAAATAGCAGTCAATAAATGTGGGGATGCACTATTATATACAGAAATTCTTCCAGAAGGAAGTCTACCCCCCCCCCCGAACGAGATGGAATTTATATAGTAAACATATTATACTTTTACTTTTGTCCGCCCCACCGATAAATGCAGACCGCCCCACCACTGACAACATAAGGTGCCCCCCCCCCCCCCGGAGAAAAAAGTCTGGAAGAAACACTGATTATATACTAAATGTTAAACAACGAGCAAGGTCTGTAGAGTTGGGAATCCATTTTTAATATAGTTTCCAAAGAACGTCATTATGTCATATAATATATATATATATATATATATATATATATATATATATATATATATATATATATATATATATATATATATATATATATCATATATATATATATATCATATATAGAGAGAGACTATAATTGAGCATAACATCGGTAAATTTAAACAATATATCACTAATAAAGAAACTACTGTTAAATTTAATTTTGGCAAATATTTTGAACTAATTGAAATATATAGTTGTGTAAAACATGAGACTTTCTTAAATTTTGCTTATAGGGTTATGGATACATATTCAGGGGGAGACGAGTCCTGCATTTGACAGTAACGGCTATGTTACGGCCCCTGATCATCAGGGGACGTTCATCAATGATTTTAAGGACATGCTCAACCTTGCACAGAGGTGAGTAAGTTAAGTATAGGACTTGTCAAAAGGTGGGTAGGGTCATAGGGTCAATTTAAGGCTTGTCATAAAGGTTAAATAGGGACATCATACGACTTGTCACAAAGGTGAGGTAGAATTCACCTGTTTCAGTGACCTAGGGATATGAAAGAATAGCGTGTTTAGCACCTTACTCATCCCCCTTTACATTCCCTATCGTAGTTCAGGTACAGAGATGGGTAGGGCCAGCGTATGGTTTTTTCTTAAGTGGAAACTGTTTTATTTTTATGTTAAAAGGTGATTCTTTAAACACATATGGCATATAAGCCATTAATTTCTAATCAACAATTCATAATCATATACAATTTTTAAGGATAATAAAACATACAAAGTATTGACACCATAAATAAAAATGACAGGTTTGTATTTAACCCTTCCCCGCGCGTGATTTTCGGTCTCATACGAAATATTTTATATAAATGTGTGGCTCTGGCAGGATAATGTCATTTTCTTATAAATCTTTATAGGCTTGAATTTTAGCTGTGTATTTTGACATAAATTACAAACATAAAATGATTTTAAATTAGAAATTATTTTGTGTGGGGGCGGGGAGGGCGTGTTAGGAGTAGGTATTTATCTAACACCTCACCGGTCCAATGGCTATTCCACTGATTCCACGATATAACCCTGTTATAAAACCCATGACCTACTTACGTCCCCAGTTATGACCTACTTGTGTTCCCCACCCTCTGGAATGCCGCCGTCGACCAAGACACCAGTCACCATTTGGACGGCCTCGTTGTGGACGGCCAGAAACTACAGAGCTACATCGACAAGGTGTTAACTCCCCTGGCCACAGCGGTCAAAGGTCACCCCGCCCTGGGCGCCTGGGATATCATGAACGAGCCAGAAGGGATGATTAACCCGGATGTGGTCTGTTTTCGTTTTAATTTTTCTTCATACTATCAAGGCGTGGTATAAAGTTATTCAGTTTTCTTTTTGCAATATATTTGTAGGGTATTTGTAATTGTTTTTATCTTTATGGTAGGCTAATTTGATACAGGTTTTTGTTCACATTATCAAAAGTTGCTTTTTAAAATTATATTTGTAGCCTACGTGTAAATGAATCTAGTCCAATTGCCTCTTGATAGAACCAACGCATGCACACATACACACGCACGCACACAGACACACACAGACACACACAGACACACACCGACAAACACAGACACACACAGACACACACAGACACACACAGACACACACTTTTAGAGTCTAAGGATCAAAAGGCTGCAACTACACCTCTCTACCGGACTCTGTTTTAAGCAGCTCTCTTTAGTTGAGCCCACGTAAATCCAGCAGCCCTTGCTTTTTCACTCACCTTTTCTAGGATTGCATAATGTAAACAGACATTGTTACATATTCTGACCTTTCATTATGTTAATGCGCTAGTACGTATTCAACAGGGTAACTCTGAGCGTTGTTTTGATGCGACGGCCATGAAGAACAGTGGCGCTGGGTGGGCGGGTCGCAAATATGGCTTTCAGGACATCATCAGGTACGTTACACTATCATTAAATATTCGTAACTAGCAAATGGTAAACATTTGTAACTAGCAAATGGTAAACATCTGTAAACCACAAATTGTAAACATCTGAAACTAGCAAATAGTAAACATTTGTGACCAGCAAATGGTAAACATTTGAATTTAGCAAGTGGTAAACATCTGAAACTAGAAAATGGTAAACATTTGAATTTAGCAAGTGGAAAACATTCGTAACCAGCAAATGGTAAACATTTGAATTTAGCTAGTGGTAAACATCTGAAACTAGCAAATGGTAAACATTTGAATTTAGCAAGTGGAAAACATCTGAAACTAGCAAATGTTAAACATTTGAATTTAGCAAGTGGTAAACATTTGTAACCAGCAAATGGTAAACATTTGAATTTAGCAAGTGGAAAACATTTGATACTAGCAAATGGTAAACATTCGTAACTAGCAAATGATAAACATTCGTAACTAGCAAATGGTAAACATTCGTAACAAGCAAATGGTAAACATTTGTAACTAGCAAATGGTAAACATTTGTAACTAGCAAATAGTAAACATCTGAAACTAGCAAATGGTAAACATTTGAATTTAGCAAGTGGAAAACATCTGAAACTTGCAAATGGTAAACATTTGTAACCAGCAAATGGTAAACATTTGAATTTAGCAAGTGGAAAACATCTGAAACTAGCAAATGGTAAACATTCGTAACTAGCAAATGATAAACATTCGTAACTAGGAAATGGTAAACATTCGTAACAAGCAAATGGTAAACATTTGTAACTAGCAAATGGTAAACATTTGTAACTAGCAAATGGTAAACATCTGAAACTAGCAAATGGTAAACATTTGAATTTAGCAAGTGGAAAACATCTGAAACTTGCAAATGGTAAACATTCGTAACTAGCAAATGGTAAACATCTAAAACTAGCAAAGGGTAAACATTTGTAAATAGCAAATGGTAAACATTCGTAACCAGCAAATGATAAACATCTGTAAGCATCAAACAGCAAACATCATCAAACAGCAAACATTTGTTACCTCACTTTTATAGACAATCTTTTACTTACGTGTAGTTAATACAGCATTTCATCGTAAAAAATATGTGCCTGTTGGAACCACGGAATTAGGGTGTGGAGGGGGGGGGGAAGGAGGAAATAGGGGGAGAAGTTGTCATGAAAAGAATACTACTAATATGCGTGGTTCAATATGTTATGTTATGAAAGTAAATAATGAAAAAAAAAATCCTTTTACACCCGTCATTGTCTTTGGGAATCTCTTTTGACCGCAAATAATAGACATAAATAATGATTCGTTGTAATGCTCTTATCAGTGTCAAATTGCTATTATAGCGTAACATGAAGGGGGTCGGGGTGTCGGGGTGGGGACTAACCAAATGCCTAAATATGAGGTTACATTTTATATTAATTAATTGAGTTGTAAATGACGATCAAGTTCCAGCATACGTTAACAATCTGTGTTATTTTAAACGAATTAACTAATCACCAAACCACGATTGATGTCGTGTCACAGGTTCATCAACTGGCAGGCCGCGGCCATCAAGAACGTGGACTCTGGTTTTCTGGTGACTGTCGGTTCCTGGAACCCCAAGTCTAACACGGACAGGATGGGTTTTGTTGACCACTACAGTGATGATTGTCTGGTCAAGGGAGGCAAGAGCAACGTGAGTTACATGCCCTTACCCTAAATCATGCGCTCCTATTTTGATCGAACATCGAGTACACGAAGTCTAACCTGATCTGGTATCTAGTGTAGTACGTCACTGAGTCCACCCAACTATAATCATAATCAACTTTTCCTTTTTGAGCCCAAGACACATGGGGCCGCCACAGAAAGCTCCCTCCACTTTTTTCGGTCTCCGTCAATTTTCCCGGCAGTCCCCCATGACAGTCCTGCCTCTGCCAGCTGCTACCTGGCAGTCCCCCATGACAGTCCTGCCTCTGCCAGCTGCTTCCTGGCAGTCCCCCATGACAGTCCTGCCTCTGCCAGCTGCTACCTGGCAGTCCCGCATGACAGTCCTGCCCCTGCCCCTGCTTCCCTGCCGTGCGCCTCTACTTTTCCCTTGGCCTTCCCTGCTTTCTTTTTCCATGACGCCCCAACACTGATGTTTTATTAGCAATCGTCTTTAAGTGGGTCAGTACAAGATTATCGTAATCTACTGTATGCTGTGGTTTTGGTTGATGCACAATGAGAAATATATGCATTTGCTTTCATACAATTTAAAGCCGGTGCCGTTAATCGGACTATGGGGATGAAGACTATGGACAAGTTTTTAAGATTAATTATCCCGCCTAAATGTTCAGAATCAAGAGTTAATATCAAGCTTTAAACCTAGACTCAGGATTAATAAAGCCGCCTAAATTTTCAGAATTAAAAGTTTGTAACTATGCTAGCTAGACCGTTGTGTTAATCAATTTACTTGATATATCTTTGATCACTATTCACTATTTACTTTTTTAAACCAATCAAATGATACTTGTTTATGATTCAGGGAAAGATTGACTTTTACCAGTTTCACAGTTATTCCTACAATGGCCAGTTCGACAACGTATCTCCATTTTCGGTAGGTCTACACATTTTTTTTCGATGATAGCTTTTCTTGGTACATACAAACCAAATAATTTAATAGATTATTGCATCCTTGAAAAGTTGATAATAAGTAAAACAATTGACAGTTCAGCTTTAGGTTTTGGTTAATTTGAATTGGAAATTGGAATTTAAAAAAAAAATTCTTTCATTTTGCAATTTCTAATTTTTTTTTTATTTCAAGACATTTATTTTGTTTTTATATTATGTAGATTGTAGGATTTCATAGTAATCTTATGTGTTAGTGTATAGTTTTACTGAAGCGTCTGTGAAGTTTTTTCATGAAACTTTAATGGAAATTTGTAACATAATCAATACCCAGAATTCAGCCGGTGACTACGGAACCGGAAAACCAATCGTTGTCGGAGAATTCTGGGAACAAGATGGCGGCGGCATGAATATCAATCAGCTGTTTGATTACGTGTACAACCACGGGTACGCCGGGGCCTGGAGCTGGGACCTGGTGGGTCACGGGGACAACCAGAGGGGCGGCATTAGCCACATCCGTGGCTACAACAACAACGGCGCCATCTCCATTAACGTCTAGCGCTGGCTCTATGATCAATGTCGGTGGCTTTCAGTAATTAATAAAAGGAATATTTATTTTTCAAAAATAATTTCAAGTTTTTTGTTTGTTTTATTTCTATCTTTTCTTCTTCTTCGTTCATAAGAGTGGCTGTCACCAGCTAACGAGCCTCATCTGCCCCAGGGTTCGAATTCGAGCTTTACCGACTCGACCACGCCGCCCCCCTATTTCTATCTATTGTCATTAGTGTAAAATAAAGAAATATCCGTAATAATGTGTTTTTGTTATTTCAAATGTATGTATTCCTTTTTGATGTGTTTATCAATTTCTGTTGATAATAATTTATTAACTTGCTTATTTTTTCTTTCGATATCATGAAGTGAAGTTTAATTTTGATTTTTTTTTAAACTTTTATTTAATATCAATTACATAAGATTTGGTTATTGATTCTTTCCTTGGTTTTATAGTAGTATAATTTTTTTTTTTACTTTTCTAAATCATTGTCAAATTTAGATGTGTTGATTTATTCTACCTTAATATCTCTGTATATTTTTTCTCTACATAAATTATATAGTTTTTATATAGTTTTTCCTTCATTTAATTTTATCTAATTAGTAACATCTCAAATTGAGAGCATAATATTGTGTGTGTTTGAAGGTCGAGCACACATTTTCAACGTGTTCCCGTTCATCAAATGACGTCAATGTAATGAACGCAAGGACGACACACTCAGCAGAGAAAGATAAAAACCAACACAATCACATTAAAATATAAATCATAAAAAACCAACACAGACTGAGATAAAACCCTGATAAGAGACAGTTGTTTATTTAACAGTTAGTTAGTGCCAGCCATTCATGTAACCTTTATCATTTTTAAACATTCTACCTAAGTCAATGAAAATATACCGGTGATAATTCGTGAAAAGGATAACCTCTGACCTTTATTAATCTGACAATCTGCACCCTCTCTGAGTTTTTTAAAAGCATGAGTAGCACCAAGAACAACGTTTTGAAAATCCAATAATTTGTATTGTATGCACACTGTAGTTACTATAGTTAGCTTTCCCAACCACTGGTATGCCGGCTATAGTGATTCAGCCAACACGCACCGCAGGAAGTTTCTATAACTATTTCTAGTGGTAACCCATCTTTACAGGAGTCTAAAAAAAGTTTGTGATAGAATACATCAATATTTCCGCATGTACGTATCCATCTTACATACGTTTTTGCATTCTACTAAAACTATGTATCCGGCCGGTCATAACCCCCCCCCCCCCCCGCCCTCTCCACACACACACACAAATCCCCCGGACGTAAACCCCCAACATAACCCCCGCCCCACGCGACATAAACCCACCTGATATAACCCCCCGGGCATAACCCACCCTTTCACATAAAACTCTCCCCCACATAACCCCCCCAGGACATAAACCCCCCGACATAAACCCCCGGACATATCCCCCCCCCCATCCCCGGACATAAACCCCCAGGAAGTTGACTTAGAGAAGAATACTAAAAACTATATACACGATAAAAATATGTTCGAGGTCCTTCATTCATTCACCGCGAGTTCATCCTGCTAAGGCATGGCTACAAAACCAAAGATCCCCAGAGTCCTCTATTCTGTAAATTCTATAAATTTGACTCCAGATATAAACTCTGATTGTAGTTTCAGCCTCAAGACCACATCGCCAGGTTGTTTGTTTTTGTCTTTTATGATGTCCAGTTGAGGGTCTGTCCGGATATGACGCTGACTGACAACTTCTTGAGATTGTGGACAACAACCTACTCACTCTCGACCTGGCGTCTATCGTTTGCAGCATTCTAACAAAGTTCTTGACCAAACGGCTAGCATTGGCATTATACTAACAAAAATCTTGACCAAGCGCCTACCGTTGGCAATATTCTTACCAATTTCTTGACGAAGCGTCTACCATTGGCAGTCTTCTAACAAAGTTCTATAGCACCTGGTCACAAGAAAAAACAAAACAAAAACTAGAGAGCCAACAGATAGGACGATGTAGATAAGCAACAACATGCTAGAAGAGAAACCCGCGTCACCAACTCATGGCAGAGGGGAAAAAAGTTTTGTTTTTATTTAAAAGTGTAATCTAAAAACATTTACATATTACTGCAAGTTTGATTAGTATAACTAATTTCTTCTTGTGGATAGACTATTTTTTTAAGATGAGGTAATGTTACATTTAATTAGTTTAATTGATTAAAATAACTATACAAATATTAAATTACGTTTAGTGTGTATTTACTCAACGTTTACACATCGCTAGTACATTTCTATTTTCACGTAATGAAAATGAGTTTTATCAAAATATTTGCAACGTTTCAATGTACTGCAAATAGAAATAAAAGAGACAGAGAGAGAGAGAGGGGGAGAGAGATGAAGATAGAGGGAGAGAGAGGGTGAGAGAGTCAAGTAAAATACTGTTTAAAATTATTCCCTTATCCCGCTCCCCTCTATCCCAGAAATACAAATGTAATATCCAGAGTTTCTTCCAGGCATCTCTCGAAAAAAAGACTACAGCCCTCCACCCCCCCCCTCGAGCGAAATCGAATTTATATAGAAAACAGTGCCCCCCCCCCCCCCCCCCCTCCAGGAAAATTTAGTTCCCCCCCCCCCCCCCCACTGGAGAAAAAAAGAAAAATGTCTGGAAGAAACACTGGTAATATCACGCTTTAATACGTTCACAAAATCCTATGATGCAAATCGCAAGGAAGCTTTAGTTCATAAAATGAATCATATACCCCCCCCCCCCCCCGCCCCACTCCATTCTCCCAGGCTTATGGCTCTCGTCTGTACCCTGTCGTCTGCTCTACTCCTGGTCCGTGCTGACGTGGATGTCCCCATCACCCAACACTGGAATGGCGGGTTCCAGGGCGAGGCCTGCATTGACATCACGCAGGAGCTGCATACGTGGACCATGACCTTGACCTTCGACCAGCCCATCAACAGTTTAAATGTGAGTCAGGGTGGGGAGAATAAAAAACAAATTTCTACTGTTTTGGCTGTTCTTGTTAAAAATCTGGCAAGACATTCTCGAACCTAGCTTTTCTATGATTATACATGTAGGGTCAATGTTAGGGTCAGGTCTTAGTGTGAGATTAGAGTTAGGGCTAGCTTTAAGATAAGGCTCATGTTTACGTTTTAGTTAAGAGTTTAGGCTTTGGTCAGGACAGGGGCTTAACTAGGTTGGGTGTCATTCGGTGTGGTAGCTAAGGGTGTAAACCACACCCCTCTAACAGTTTTGTGATCTAGGTTTGGTGTCACCCCTCTCCCCGACTATGTTAATATTTTATACTGGATACAACATTTTTTACAGTAAAGTTTACGATTATTTGTCATGGTGTCCACCCCTAAATTGTGTCCCCCGGTGGGGACTGAACTCAACTCCCCCGTCTTGTGACGCCCCGTGCATTTATAAAAATACAAATTCAATTTGCACTAAACATAGCTAAACTTCAATCATTCTAAAAATAGCTGTCTGTTCTTGTGTACCACGTGACCATACCCTCCCCAGGCGTACCAAGCGGACGTAACAGAGAGCAAAGATGGCGGTAAAGTTTACGTCCTGCACAACAAGGACTGGAATAAAGATGAGCATGTTGGTGATAAGCTGTGTGTGGGGTTTCAAGGGGCGGGTGAGTACACGGCGGGGAGGGGTGGGGTGAGTACAGGGTGGGGAGGGGGCGGGTGAGTACAGGGTGGGGAGGGGGGGTGAGTACACGGTGGGGAGGGGGGGTGAGTACACGGTGGGGTGGGGGGTGAGTACACGGTGGGGGGGGGGGGGTGAGTACACGGTGGGGAGGGGGGGGGGCGGATGAGTACAGAGTGGGGTGAGTACATGGGGGGAGGGGGTGGTATTTAGGCAAGGGATGTGGTGGTGTAGGGGAAGTTAGTGGCGGATGGTGGTGAGTTAGGTGATGGTGTGGTCTAACGCTTGACTCGTAGGTGTACCTTGACCTATTGGCCCCTCGTGTTCGAACCAGATGATGCGCTGTAATGGGGAATGAGCTAAATTCTGGCACCCAGTCTTTGGCGGTTGCAAACATGTATGAGAGAAATGCTCTATTCTAAACCTGGTTCCATTATACAAGGATATTAAACAAAAAGCTTGAGCCGGTAATGACCGTTACAAGAGAGAAGAAAGAGAGAGAGAGAGAGAGAGAGAAGGCAAAAGAAACAGCGGTGCAAGTGGTAGATTGTGTATGTAACGGGGGTGGGGGCCTTATTTTGTGGATTTCGAGATAAATGGTTGAAAGCAGTTTGTATGTAAGGTTTGTCGCACGTACCCATTCTTTGTTCAGAAATAAAACCACTATCAGGCCTAATTCTGAAGACAACCATTTCGTTTCTGATAAATCGTATTTGTCTTCCAGCTACAGGAGACATCGTCCCAAAAGTTACAGCTAGTCTTCAGGGTGTGGTTGGAGGGGGCACGTCTCTTACAACGGAGGCCCCTGTCACAGGTAAGAAATACACCTACTAGGCGGCTGTCACAGGTACGAAATATTCCTACTCTCACTATGTGAATTTGAACAGATAGTTTCTAAATGTTAACCAGCATTTTTACTTGGGTTTAGCTTTACAAAACTCCAATGTAAAGGATAGGTTTAGATTTCTTGGTGTGAATGGGGCGAGAGTTAAACCTTTGATTACATTAATTTGCATAACGATCAATAATTATTTGATTAGTGTCTAGCCAGTAAAATTGTCCGTAATAATGTCTGTATTTTTTTCATTCAAATATTTACCCCATTGTATTTTTAGGACAGACAGTAGCGCCCAATGGTAAGTTAAACAGCTTTGTTAATTCAGAAAAAAATTATAAAAATTATTTCCCAGGTTCAGTCAATGTTGATGAAAATACTAAAAAAATAAATTCTCTCACACCTCAGCCACATTCACCCCAGGGGCCAGACTGAAAGTTGAAGGCACCCACTTCACCTACAACGGCCAGCGAATTTTCCTGTCTGGGGGTAACCTCCCCTGGATCAGCTACGCCTATGATTTTGGCGAGGGCCAATGGCAGTACAGGAAAAATCAATTGGCGGACCAGCTGAAGAAACTACACGAGGCAGGGGGGAACTCCATGAGTATGTTGTTCTAAAAATAACAACCAATAAACTTAGAGCTTCATGATATTGATCGAATAGTAAATAAACATAATTAAAAATAGCTTCTAATGAAAAAAGAGTTTTTAATACATACTAAAAATAACTTCCAATGAGATGTGGACGTATCTTTAAAATTTATTTAACCAGGGCTATGGATCCACATTCAAGGGGAGACAACCCCGGCTTTTGACAGCAACGGTTTTGTCACGGGACTGGACACCAAGGGCACGTTCATCAACGATTTTATTGATCTGCTCAATCTGGCCCAAAGGTTCTCAAACTGTTCTGACATCAAAAACATATTTTCCATATCTTTTCTTACTATTCTGTATGTATTTTTAGTTTTGCATTACCGACTAAGGGGTCATCCATAAATGACGTCACGCTTTTTTGGGACGATTTTTACCCCCCCCCCCTCCCCTCCCCTCCGTCACACGTCGTCACAAAAAGCCAGACCCCCCCCCCCTAAAATGACGTCACACCTCAGCCTACACCCCCCCCCCCCCTCAAAATTGCAGTTGAATTTTTTTTTGAAACATCGATATTTTTCTAAAATCTTGTCTGAACTCTGTCAAAATAGAGTATTTTAATCAATTCCTATTACAATTTATTAAAAAACAGTTTTCTAAAACGCAAAATAACGTCTAAAATTCGTTTCCTAACATTGTTTTTTTGTAATGCAAAAGTGTGACGTCGCACCATCTGAACCCCCACCCCCCCTCATCACACACCGTCACAAAATTACGGATCCCCTCCCCCCTACGAGTGTGATGTCATTTATGGACGACCCCTAATACCACGTCAATGTTTCGACAGACCATATTAGTGTTTCTATTGACTGTGTCTATGCCTCTCCATCGTCTATGGCAGTGTCTATATTTACCATATCAATGCCTCTTCTGGTTATATCAGTCAGCTTTAAGCAAACGATGGCCTGTCATCATTCTGGAATTGTATCTTCCTAATTTAAACATCATAATTTCCATATTTACCTTCAGCGTTACTCCATAGTATTCTTACAACCACTATACACAGCTAATACAGAAACCGGAAAAGGATAACACGAAAAGTACAAAATAAACTTCTTCCTTCAAAAACATGCACTAACATACCCATGTCTCTACCCCAATTAAGTTTCCTTATCCTTATCAATACCTCTATTCGTATAATTTTTGAAGTAATTAAAATTTGGACCGAATTAGTAGGCATTTTTTCCAACCACACCACACGCGTCATCACGTTCAATAGCTGCGCCATCACGTTCAATGGCTGCGTCATCACGTTCAGTAGCTAGGCGCGCAATGGTTTTTAGTCATGTAACTCTATTGTAAATAAAACATGTAAAATACTGAAAAAAAATTAATAAAAAACGTTTTAATAACTAACCAATGGTTTTACTAACCCTGCTCTTGATTTACGCTACGACAGAGCTATTTTTAGATAACATAAGGAAATTGCGCTAAAATTGTCACTAGACTTTTTAATTAACTTGTTTATTATCAATCCGTATCACTTTCCATGTCCTTATTTCTTTTTCCATGTCACTTTCCCTATCCAAATCCCTATCATTTTCTCTATTCCTACCCCTATCCTTATCCCTGTTCTTATGACCGACATCCAGGACATCACTTGGGATATTTGACAGGGGTAATGTACCTCTCCCGTCAGTTATTCCAAGGGTTATTTTCCCAATTAGGTACAATAGATAAAAAAAAATGGTGGGTGTAGTCAATCTATAAACACTATAGGACTCTACTATCTTTTAAAACTCAAGAAAGTTTTGTTGAAAGTAAGCTAAACGTAAATTTTGTCTGTTTTTTTTAAATATTGTTTTCATTTATCTTTAGCTACAACATTCTGCTGACCCGCATGTGTTTTCATTTATCTTTAGCTACAACACCGTGTTTTCATTTATCTTTAGCTACAACATCCTCCTGAACCCAGTGTGTTTTCGTATATCTTTAGCTACAACATCCTCCTGACCCCAATGTGTTTTCGTTTATCTTTAGCTACAACATCCTCCTGACCCCAATGTGTTTTCGTGTATCTTTAGCTACAACATCCTCCTGACCCCAATGTGTTTTCGTGTATCTTTAGCTACAACATCCTCCTGACCCCAATGTGTTTTCGTGTATCTTTAGCTACAACATCCTGCTGACCCCAATGTGTTTTCGTATATCTTTAGCTACAACATCCTCCTGACCCCACTGTGTTTTCGTGTATCTTTAGCTACAACATCCTCCTGACCCCAATGTGTTTTCGTGTATCTTTAGCTACAACATCCTCCTGACCCCAATGTGTTATCGTTTATCTTCAGCTACAACATCGTCTTTTCGTTTATCTTTAGCTACAACATCCACCTGACTCCAATGTATTTTCGTTTATCTTCAGCTACAACATCGTCTTTTCGTTTAACTTTAGCTACAACATCCTCCTGACCCCAATGCGTTTTCGTTTATCTTTAGCTACAACATCCTCCTGACACCAATGTGTTTATCTTTTATCTTTAGCTACAACATCCTCCTGACCCCAATGTGTTTTCGTGTATCTTTAGCTACAACATCCTGCTGACACCCACGCTCTGGAACGGTGCCGTGAATCAGGACAACCACAACAGACTGGACGGACTGGTCAAAGACCCCGCCAAGCTCCAGTCGTACATAGACAAGGCCTTGACCCCTTGGGCTCAGGCGGTCAAAGGTCATCCGGCTCTGGGGTCATGGGATATCATGAACGAGTGTGAGGGAATGCTCAACACTGACGTGGTAAGAAAGTCGTCTTGAGGGACAAGGGGTCGTCCATAAATGACGTCGCACTGGTAGGGGGAGGGGTGTGTGACGAGGGGGATGGGGTTGTTAAATGGTGTGACGTCACTTTTTTTCATTATAAAAAAGCAATATTAGAAAACGAGTTTTAGCCGTTATTTCGCGTTTTAAAAAACGTTTTTGATATATTGTATTAGGAATTTATCAAAATACTCTATGTTGACAGAGTTCTGTCAAGATTTTGGAAAAATATCGATGTTTTAAGAAAAATTCAACAGCAATTTTGAGGGGGTTGTAGGCTGAGGTGTGACGTCATTTTAGGGGGGGGGGCGGTCTGGCTTTTTGTGACGACGTATGACGGAGGGGAGGGGGGAGGTAAAAATCGTCAAAAAGAGCGTGACGTCATTTATGGATGACCCCCAAGACGGGGATGAGGGGCGGGGGTAGCAGTCCAGCGCTCTAGTCTAGAGTTCTACATTTTAGAAATTGGTTGTCGACAATGGGTATGTCTCCGTTGGGGGGGGGGGGGGCAGTCGAGGGGGGGGGGGGTATTGCACTGTCATCGAAGCACGTACGTCAATCGCACCATCTTCAGAGAATATAGAAAAAAGAAATTAAATTTATATAAAACAGATACTATATGAATTCTTATAATAGCCCCCACCACCCCACCCCATGACCCTCTGCCCACGAAAATATCAAATGCTTCCCCACAGAGGCGTAGAGAGGGGGGACGGGGTACATATGTCTCCGGGCGCCGACCCTAGGGGGCGCCAAATCGGGTTGGAAAAGCAAATTGAAAGTTTGAGGGGGGGGGGGGGGTGCAAATTGAAAGTTTGAGGGGGGGGGGGGGCAAATCAAAAGGTTGGGGGGGGCAAATCGAAAGTTTGTCCCCGGGCGCCGGGAAGGGTCGCTACGCCTCTGCTTCCCCAACCCCTGGAGAAACCAATATCTGAAATAAACTCTGTTTATCGAGCGTTGATTATAGAATACCCTGATCGGCGATTGAGACAAACTAATTTAAGAACAGTTTTGAACAAATTTGATTTCGAATAAGCTCTCGAGTGACTTGTGTTAAGTATCAATTTTAATTTGTTTGGTTTTGATTTTGTAATTATTTACATAGAGTAATCCTGACTCATTGTTTAATTTTGAACTTTTATTTGTTCCCCTAAAGTAATTCCGATTCATTGTTTAATTTTGAACTTTTATTTGTTCCCCTAGAGTGACCCAGATCCATGTTTTGACGTGACTCCTCTTAAAAACAGTGGGGCGGGATGGGCAGGCAAGAAATATTCCTACAGAGAATTCTTACGGTACGTTCATGTTTTACGGCTTATTTTGTGACCACGGGAAACAGAGCAAATATCTACAGCAAAGCGATTCACAAAAGGAAATAGTTATCGCTTTGTGTATGAGGTTCAGATCCATTCTAAACAGCGTTTCTTTAAGACATTTTTCTCCGGGGGATGCGGGGGGAGTGGGGGGGGAGACTTGATGATATTACCAGGGGGAGGGGGACACTGATAAAAGATTATATTTTCTGTATAAATTCCTTTCGTTCGGGGGGGGGGGGGGGGCGATAGACCTTTTTAGGGGGGAGGAGGGCGCACCGCCCCCGAATAGATGCTTGGTAGAAACTCTGATTCTAAACCCTCATTTAAGTCATTACAAGAATGTTAAGCCCTAGCGAGTTATCTTTTTATCGATTGTCTAGATTTCCGGACCCAGTCTGAAGATTTTCCACGAGTCCTCTCTGTGACTCTCTGATTTAGATTTATACTAAACATTTTCAATTAAACTGTGTTTTTTTCCCATCTGTGCATATTAGGCACCTACGATAAAGTCAACAATTAAATTATTTCTTGAAAGGCTGAAACTCAGACATAAAAGCATTAAACAGTAGAGGATTTAGGCATACCCAGACTTAATCCAGGCCGATCACCGTGACGTATTTTCTTTTATGCAACAGGTTCTACAACTGGCAGGCGGCAGCAATCAAGGCCGTTGACCCTGAGTATCTAATCAGTGTGGGCGTGTCCAACCCAAGATTTAACACGGATAGCTTCGGCAACGTTGACCACTACTCGGACAGTTGTCTGGTTAAAGCAGGCGGGAAACCCGAGGTCAGTTGTTGAACATTTATATAAATGTATAGGTTAAGGGAAACAACTCTTTTATTCTTATTCAGCAACAATTATATCCACTACTTCCCCTATATTATACATTTTGGAAATTTAGAATTTGGCCTAAGTAATAGTATCAAATAATAGAAATAAAAAAAATATATTGTTTAAAAAGGTAAATTAAATGTATTTGTATTGAGAATAAAAACAATGCTATAAGTTAAAACTATCAACCATGAGTAAATATAATTGGTATATTGGTATTAACACAGTTTTACCTTTCAAATTTGATAGATTGTTAGCTTGGATACGGTTGTCTTATTATGTTTATTACAAAAAAAAAAAGTTTGTTTATTGCAAATAATAAAACTAAGTTTATCACATCATGACTTGTGTAAATATGTTGCAGGGTGTTATGGACTTCTATCAGTTCCATTCCTACTCATGGCAGGGCAAGTTTGACCAATCCGCGGCCTTCGTGGTGAGTCTGAGACAATTTGCGGCTCCGTTGGTTTTTTAAATTAAGATAGACAGAATTGTGTGAATAAGTGTTCTCAAACCGATTTCGGAAGCATAATTTATTTCGAATTTTTCTTTTTTTTTTATTGTGACAAAAATTGGTCAGTCAACGTAATCTTGACGTATTTGATGAAATCATAGCAAGTCCCCTATTCAATGCAAAAAAAAAAAAAAAAAAAAAAAAAAAATTAGTGTTGAAAAAAAACTATGTGGGGGGGGGGGGGGGAAGCAGTGTTCCCTCAAAGGTGCGCGGTTTTAGAACACAGCGCACATAAAATACAAGTTGCACACTAGCTTTTTCCCCTTAGAGGAAAGGTTGGGTGGGAAAGGGTAGGTTGAATTGTGACGTCATTTTAAGAATGGATGATCTGATTATTAAGTGGGTAGTAAAGATTAGCCCACGCTAAACGGAATGACTTCACATACGCACAATATACTTATTTATTAATACCCAAGATCTAGAAGGATTATAGAATTATGTAATATTTATTCGACATGCAATGTTAATTTAAGTAGCATACATTTTAAGAAGTATAATTAATATAAGACTTACAATGGCTCATTTAATATAGTTTATGTATAGTAACTTCGATATTATCCATTGTGTGAACATGTGTGCATATGTTTAAATGATTTACGTTCTGTGTTAAATTTAATTACACTTCTGACTGCCCATACGGTGAAGTAGAGTTTACCTGTTTCTGTGACCTCGGCATATAATAGGATCAGCAATTTGTCCAGCCGCCGTTACTTTCTCTAACGTGAGCTGGGTGGACTCGGGGACGTTTTACACATTTGAACCCTAATTCTAACTCGTGACTTTCAGTTCAGCAGTCAAATGCTCTACCATTCGACCACGCCGTCCCATATTCTTTGCGTGCAAAAGATAAAAAAAAAATTACCACTGCATTTGAACCCAGATTCGAACTCGAGACTTTCAGGTTAACAGTCGAAAGCTCTACCATTCGACCACGCCATCCCATACTATTTCCGCCTTGAAGCTAAAAAAAAAATTTAAATCTCCCCCAGAACTCTGCAGGAGACTACGGCACCACCAAGCCCATCGTGGTGGGGGAATTCTGGGAGCAAGATGGCGGCGGGATGACCACTGTCCAGATGTTCGACTGGGTCTACAACCACAGCTACGCCGGGGCCTGGAGCTGGGACCTGATGGCCCACGGGGACAACCAGCGCCCGGCCATCATGCACATCAGCAACTACACACACAACGGCCCCATACCCATCACTGTACAGTAGGGGCTACACGACCGATGACATTACAGAGGACATGACGTCTCAGGGTAGGGTAGTTCAATGACATATGACACATCACGGTAAATTTTGACATTCAAGGGGACAGTAGTTTGATGACATCTCAATGTAGAGTAGTTCAATGACATGACACATCACAGTAAATTATGACATTCAAGGGGACAGTAGTTTGATGACATATCTCACAGTAGAGTAGTTCAATGACATATGACACATCACAGTAAAAAATGACATTCAAGGGGATAGTAGTTTGATGACATATCTCACCGTAGAGTAGTTCAATGACATATGACACATCACAGTAAATTTTGACATTCAAGAGCACATTAGTTTGATGACATATCTCACCCTACAGTAGTTCAATGATGGGTAACACCCCAGAGTACAAAATGACATATGACACATCACAGTAAATTATGACATTCAAGGGGATAGTAGTTTGATGACATATCTCACTGTATAGTAGTTCAATGACATATGACACATCACAGTAAATTATGACATTCAAGGGGACAGTAGTTTGATGAGTAGAGTAGTTCAATGAAAGATAACCCACGGTACAAAATAACAGAAGAGTATGGTGGCTTAATGACATGACATCTAACATTACAGTAGTTCAATGACATGGGACACACCACAGTACACTATGACCTTATTGATGAGATGACATCTCCAGGGCTGTAGCTCAATGACAGATGACATATAGTACTATCATACAGCTTAACCGTGTACAATTATGCTAAATTAGGGGTTACTAAAACTTTTAAAATGCTGAAACTTACACAAATGTTTGTTTAAATTTCTTCAAATTACACTAAACTGTTCATAACCCCCATCTTAAATTTTATTTAAAGAAAAAAACTGAAATTGTGAAAACATGACAACAAATACAATTCTATTAAAAACTACAAAACAAAATAATTTCATCATAATTTATTGCAAAAATTTGATTTGACTTATGAAAAATGATTTCATATGTTAAGTCTAACATTAAAATAAAATTATCTGAACTATTATTCACTATATACAATACGCAATAATTATTTACACAAATTAATACATTTCATTATGTAAATTCTTCAACAAATGCACATACAACACACATACTCAACATACACTAGTTCACATGCATATAATGGAAAAACCAATCAATATGTTATCAACACATACAGTGAACACCATCTCAATGCATCTGATTCATATCAAACCATACACTTTGAAAACATCCTTGCCCTGTCAATTCAGATGTTCAAAATCATCCTCAATTATCAACACATACATTAAAATCATCCTCAAACCTATCAACACTGACAACATCCTCACCTGTGTTGTCACACTACTTACAACATACAGTACCATACAACATAAACATATGGTCAGTTACCAATCACATATCACACTTTAGAAAAAGACTTATAAAAACCTACATTAGCACTCAGGCTAATTTGATTCACGTTGTGCAAGAACAGACAACTCTAATAAAACAATCAGCAATGAGAGGACAGCCCATACATTTTTTTAAAACAGTAACGTCCCCTGAGTATTTGAACACACTCTAGCACAAAGATCTGTTTTATTATTTGGTCTTTAAGTAGTCTATCAGGTTCTTTGTTACATCTGGCTCAATCAATATTTACAATTTTAAAAAAATTACATCTCACATTTTACCTAGAACATGCAATTGTATAACAGTAAAAGACTAAACTTAAGTATATGGATCTAGATTTTTTTCTGGCAAATGCTGGTCTAAAAAAAATCAATATATTTTAAAAACTAAAAATAACATGTTTTGCTAAATTGTTGAAAAAAAACCTGTTACATAGAAAACTAACTTATTACTTAAGTGAACTTTGAACATAATATATATATGTATTTCCACTGGCTAGAAAGGTATAGATGTTTTAACTACTGTACAACACAAATCATTCTAGATTTGAAATTTTATGTCATTTGCCTTGGATCCCATGGTTTTTATATTATTTAGCTGACATTTATTTATCAGAATTTATTGATCAGTATATAAATGTGATCTACTTAGTGAGGAAGATGGTAATTTATGCATTGATTTCATTCAACTCTAACTTTACATGGCAAAAATACATACATATCAACAGTATAAATGTATATCAATAATCATCAAAACTTTTATCATATTTTTATACCCAGCTCAATAATATCTTTGCTGGTGGAGAGTGGCTATCCCAGTATCCCAACTACGTAGGTGAATAACTATCTCAATATCCCAACTCGATGAATGTAGTTGAATGAGTATCCCAATTTGGTTGGTGAATAACTATCCCAATATCCTAACTCAGTTGGTGAATGGCTATCTCAATATCCTAACTTGGTGAAGAGCTATCCTAATATCCTAACCCAGTAAATATTCTAAATTAGTAGGTAAATGAGTATCCCTGTATCCTAACTTGGATGGTGAGTGGCTATCACAATATCCTAACTTGGCTGGTCAGTGGCTCTCCCAATATCCTTAGTATCCCACAAGCCTCTCTGACGTAAGCTCCCTCCCATCAGCAGTTCTATCAGGCTTGGTAAACACCCAAACACATCAGCTATAAAGTCACATGAACAAAGTCACCAGTCAAATCCCAAGTCACAAGTGATTGTATCAGCAACAAAGTCATGACTGCACATTCCAATGACATAAGGATGTAGAACAAAAAAATTGTAACATTGTAAAATCTATACAAAAATTATCTAGTTCACATATCTATGTAAATATGTCATTTGTCGTACGTATATACTTCAATGGCATTTGTTTAAGTCATATGTAAATAGTCAAAATATAAGTATAGAATCTATGTGTATGGCATTTATGTAAGTCAAAAGTCAGCAGTCACCCCTTATACAAATAAAATAAATCTAAATATAGCGTAAGTCACGTCATAAGTTATATAATACATCTAAATGTCATTCATAAATGTCAAATGTCACCAGGAGAAGAGAGACATGAGAGTTTGATTTGTGTTTTAACACCCTGATTAATCCAGGTCAATATAAACAGGTGATTTTCATATTTGAACAGTTGGCTATATATGTCAGGTGGGGGGGGGGGTGTGAGGTCAACATAGGTCAGTGCAGTTCAATATCAAGAAACGCGTCTAACAACAACATCGGAACTAAATGGTAAACTCCCGCTCAGAGCTGGAAGAAAGATCGTGAGACTTGGAAGACTGGCTGATAAGGTTTTGTCTGGAGCTGTTTTGTCCAGGGGTGGTATGGCCGCTTGTGGCCACGGGGGATACGGAGGGGGAGCGCGTGGCCAGCGGGGACAGGGAAGGGGTCAGGGAGGGGGTCATGGCTACGGAGGTGAGACTAGATTCGTAGCTGATGGGGGAGCGGGGGAGGGAGGGGAGGGAGATGTTCATGGTGGAGGCGTGGGTGGAGTTGCCACGACTGCTAGAGGAAGACATGGGTTGTTGTGGAATGGGAGGTGGGGGGTGCTGGGGTGGCGGGGGGTGGATGTGGGGGTGGATCCCCATGCGGGGGCTGTGATGCTGTTGAGGGGACCGGTGGTTAGAGTGTGATAAGAGTTTTATCTGCGGGGAGAAGTGGGGGTTTAGACACTGTTGCGGGGCGAACTGGGGAGGGGAGGAAGTTTTCTGCGTCATGTGACTAGTTCTGGTGGGCTGGTGGTGGTAGTGGTGGGCGTGTTGCTGCGCCTGGTGGTTGTAGGGCGCAGCTTGGTGGTTGTGGTGGAAGTGGGTGGATGGTGCTTGATGATGGTGGTGGTGGTGGTGCCGGCTTCGGCCGACCTGCAAGGTGGGGCTCTGGTGGGCATAGTCTGATACACTTTCATTGTCACTGGGTATCATGTGGCCAGGCAACGGCACGGCCATTGGCGGCGCGTTGGTGATGATCGGAGGCGGGACTGTCCTCACCTGCGGTTGTTTGATTGACGAGTTAAATTGTCTCTGAGGAACAGTTTTGATTGGTTGTTTTTTCGGCGTGACACTGTCGTCTTTCAGTTTAGCGATTTCTGAGAAGACGTGGGCAAGGGGCTGATACTGGGGTCCCCAGTCTATGAGGTAATCCCAGTTGTACGAGCCGCTGTTCACCTCCTCGCTGTTGACCACGCTGGTCAGCGACCCCACGTTATGGGTATCCGGCTCGTGGAAACTCATAACATGCAGACTGCTTTCTTCATCCGTTTCAAGGTCGGTCATTTTTTCAACGTCCGTATCCACCCCTCCTTCACCTCCTCCCTCGTCAGAAAACTGGTGCATGCTCTCGGCAGATCTGCCCAGCTGCTCCGCCTTGATCTTGTTGATGGCCTTACTTTTGCCAATTTTGGACGAGTCAATGCCAAGGTTGGCCAGGTACTCCTGGTGAGTCTGAGGGACAGGCTCAGAGAGGGTGTCATCGTCATGTTGTATGCCTGAGTCAGGCATGTTGGTCTGGCGGAAAGCCTGCGAGGAATGTAGGTAAGTGTTTGAATTTATTCGACTGATTTCTTCGTCTTCGTCCTCCGCTTCAGCCGAGCCGCGCCCGCTGGAGGCGGAGTTTTGCGACTGATCCGACACGTCAGAGGCCATCAAGTTGACTGGCCGTATGTGGTCAACAAAAGGCCGGTCTGGTAGTTGAGGGGGAGGGGCAAGGTCAATGGTAGAATCACTGGAGTAATCTTTGTCTGATTTTTTCGGCAGCCTTCGCCTGTACAAGATGATGATGATAACTGCGATGATGACGATGATGAAGATCAAACAGACAACAATAATGGCGGCTCGTACTCCATCGGTCATCCCTGTGCTGGCCATAACCTGACAACCTGAGCAGGTCCTGTCTATGGTCAGGACGCAACGAGACGTGTCCTGCTTAGACCCAGGGACCCCGGAGCTAACTTTAACTGCCAGGTCAACGCTGTCCAGCGTCAAAGCGCGCTTCTTCCTGGCCCGCGCTGGTGCCGTGTCGTGCAGTGCCACGGCCACAGTGATGTTGCCAGTTGTGCTGTTGATGGTGAAGTAGTCGTTAGGCTCAACAAACTCAAACACCAGTCTCCCTGCATCACCTGTGTCCTCGTCAGTGGCAGATACATGGCCGACAAAATCCCCAGCTTTAGCCGACCCCGGGACCTCGAAACTGTACTCCTTAGCATTCAGGTGAGGCTGGTACTCATCTACGTCCACCAAACGTATGGTCACTTCGGCCGAATCAGTGAACTGACCTCGATCAGTAGCGATGATGATTAAATTAAACAAGTACTGCTGTTTCGGAGCTTCATAGTCAAACACTTTTGTAGCATAGATATCCCCAGTAAGTGGATCAATAGAAAAACTTTCATAATCCAAATCCTTTCTTAAACTGTAAGTGACAATCCCCATCTCACCCCCATCTCCGTCACTGGCGTGAGCTTGAAAGACAACCGTGCCATTTTCGGAATTTTCCAAGATCTCTTCCATATAATGCTTGATTGGAAACCGTGGCCAAAACTCGTTGACGTCACTGACTAATATATCCACAGTGACAAACGCTGACAGACGGGGGGAGGTTTTGGGACATGAACCGCAGTCAACCGCCCGCATGATGAGACGATGGGACGACTGGGTCTCGTAGTCCAGGTGCATTTTCTCCATGATGAACAGCCCGCCCTCGTTGCGAGGGTTGAAGAAAATTCCTTCGTTGTTTCCAGACGTGATGAAAAACTTGACCTCAGCGTTGGGGCCAGAGTCGGCATCCGTTGCATTCACGGTCAGAAAGATACGCTCTGGGGAATAGTTCTCACTCAGGGTGATGGTGTAACCGTTTTCTAGAAAAACCGGAGGGTTGTCGTTTTCATCGTCCACGTAGATGATCACAGGGATGGAAGCATTTTTAGGAGGGACCCCTTTGTCCGTGGCTACAGCTGTCATCTCATGCTGGCGTTTGGTCTCGTAGTCCAGACCGCCGTTGTAGAAGATCTGCCCGGTGCGCTGGTGGATGTAGAAGAATCTGATGCCAAGGCCTACGAGTGTGTAGTTGATCTCACCGCGGTAGCTCAAGTCATTGTCCACTGCGGACACCTGTAGGACTTGGACTCCCCTCTGTGCTGACTCACTAACATGGGCACTGAGGGACAGAGAAATCAGTTGTTAGCATTTACAGTAGATAGAATGTTTTGTGAGGGACAGAGAAATCAGTTGTTAGCATTTACTGTAGATAGAATGTTTGGTGACGGACAGAGAAATCAGTTGTTAGCATTCACAGTAGATAGAATGTTTGGTGAAAAATACAGAGAAACAGAGAAATCAGTTATTAGCTGTTACGGTAGATAGAATAAGTTGTGAAAAGTACAAAGGAATAAGAAATCAGTTATTAGCATTTACTGTAGATAGAATGTTTTGTGAAAAATACAGAGGGACAGAGAAAACAGACATTAGCATTCATAGAAGATTAAAGAGTGGTTAAGGCATCTCATTGTTTCTATAACAGAGAGGCCAATAACTGTGTCATGCTTTTAACATTTTATGAATTGATGAAAATTAGCTTTTAGTTACTTAAAGACTTACATGTAACCAAGGAATTATAAACTTAAATAGTGGAAACATTACATTTAATTTCCACAAAATTAGATACCTCACATGTATTTAACAATTTATGTATTTAGTAATATATAAAAAAAATTAACAGTAAAAATGTGTGGACTACGCTTACATGTAATTAACATTGGCCACAAAGGTAGGTGGGAACTTGTTGACATCCGTGATCTGGATGTGTACGGCCACCATGGAGGACTGGGGTGGATTCCCTTTGTCCCTGGCCACAACCACAAACTGGATGATGGATTCCCCAGCCTTGAACATGATAGTCTTGTTGGTGAAGATGGTGCCTGGGGTTCAAAGGTCATAAGTTTTAGCCAAAATAAAATGGTACAGTATCTTTTGGAGTTAGTCCAAGTATAATGGTGCGCATGGAAGCATTCACAATAAAATCATGTAATTCTAAATAACTTTTCATTATAAAATTTTTAAAAAATTGAACTATTTTTCCTGAGCTAGTTTCCTTTGATTAGTGTAACATTTCTAGCTCATTTGAAATATCTAATATAACAGTAAACATGCTATTAAATATAACAAATGTAATCAGTAAAATGTTATTCTAGCATTGGCAAAAATTAAACAATAGCCAGTAGCCTATATCATGGCACAACAATTTTGTTGGCCAGTCTAGGTAGACAAGTTAATACATTTGACAAATTTAATCAGTAAAATGTTTTTCTAGGATTAACAAAAGTTAAACAATAGCCAGCATATCATGACAACAATTTTGCTGGCAAGTCTAAGCCTACCTTACATAACAGTCAGGATTGATGAAAGAGTGAAAAAAAGGAATATAATTTTGTCTTTTAAATCTCTACCTACCATCCTGTTTAGTTTTGTTTTTAAAATAAAAAAGTATTTTTGTGGTATCAAGAATCTTCAAGGTAAACAAAGCTAAACCTGTTGAGTGATGAGCACTCACCAGTCACTGGGTTGATGGTGAAGCTGTCTATCTGTGATGACCCCATACTGTAGACTATTTCAGCGTTTTGTCCAGAGTCAGCGTCAGTGGCAACAACTGTCAGCACCGACTGGTTGGGGCTGGTCTGTTCTGGTAGCGCCACCTATAAAAATATTTACAGGATGTTACACTATATTTCATGGGATGGAGTGGCCTTGCGGTAGAGAGCTGGACTGCTAACCCGCAAGTCTCGAGTTCGAATCCGGGTTCAAGTCAATAGAACGTACCTGAGTCCATCCAACTCTGATGGGTACCTAACTCAAGTTAGGGTAAGTAAAGGCGGCTGGGCATAGTGCAGAGGTCACAGAAACAAGTGAACTCTACTTCACTTGCCCCGTAGACCGTCAGGTTTGAAAGGGAACTACTTTTATTTACACTAAATTACTCAACACAGGTCTAAAGACTTAAGGATACAGTTTTTTAGCACTTAAAATCTGCAGTTTTAAAATCACTGGGATCTGACTTAAATGTAAAACAGTGACCAATATTTCAAAATTACAACACAAGGTCACTAGATGATTAAAGTCTGAATATCTATTATTATTCTATTACAGCTTTCACAAAAATACTCTACAGATCAAAATTAGGTGCCTCTACTATTTAAATAATTTATTCCTCCCCCCATCCCCAATACTGATTTGGATTTCTCTATATTTAAACTCTGTTGCCTCCCCTAATGGTAGAAGTACAAAAAGTACAATAGCCGCACCTCATAACTCTGGTGGGAGAAGACAGGAGCGTTGTCATTGACATCTATGACATTCACTGTTATCCACATCACACTGGTGTGGTCTGGATCACCATCGCTGACCTGCAACACAACACAACATCAGTTCACACACTCAACATACAAATACTGTTTCACAGCAGACGTAACAAAACACAACATCAGTCAACATCCATAAACTGTTTCACAGACTCAACAAAACACATCAGTCAACATCCAAAAAGTATTTCACAGACTCAATAAAACACATCAGTCAACATCCAAAAAGTATTTCACAGATTCAACAAAACAACATCTGTCAACATCCAAAAAGTATTTCACAGATTCAACAAAACACAAAATCAGTCAATATCTAATAACTTATTCACACAGTTTTCATTCAACATCAGACACTATCTTTTATCATCTCAACATCATTACCTGAATACCAACGTTGTACACCGACTTTTTCTCATGGTCCAGTGGTTTGGCCAGGGTCAGACGACCAGTGGAGCTGTCCAGACTGAAGGTGTTGTCAGGGTTACCATCCACAACAAAGTCGTACACCAGGATAGGGTTCAGGTCCACATCATTGGCTGTTGCCATGACGATGGAGTAGCCAACCACTTGGTCTATACAATACAAAGTATGTTGAGTTATTTAAAATCTATTGATCTATTCAATTGGTCTATTTATAAAAAGTGCCCTTAATGATTAATATATTGAACAAATTTTTCCATTGGACTTTTACATGATAGCTTTTTAAAAATGTTGATAGTTGTCTAGAAACAAAACATTTAATATCTGCAGATAATCACAGCCACTGATAGTGCAAAAATTAAATTAACGTCAGCATCTAAATTTAACCGTCTTATCCAATTAGCATTAGCTGTACTTGAAAGCATATTAACTATACATATTTAAAAAAAAAACAAATATAAATATTTTACTTATTAAAGCTACTGGTAAAAAAAACTCTTAATATATATATATATATATATATATATATATATATATATATATATATATATATATATAAAGGACGTTGGAACCATAGATTAGTTCAGATCCCACTTACTCTCCGTGACATTCTGCGGTGGAATCACTGGGAAGTGTGGCGGGGAGTCATTCTCATCCACTATGGTGATGATGAGCTCGCAGGAACTGGATCGGGATGGGACACCTCTGTCCCTGGCTTCAATGATCAGCCTGTGAAGACACAAAGGGAAATGGTGAGTCCAGTGGTTCTCAAACTGTGTTTCATTTAACTATTATTAGCTAGTGGGTGACACAAAGTTAAGTCTTTGGGAGACACAAGTTAAAATGAAGAGTCCAATAGATCTCAAAGCTAGAAGGACATAAAACTTGTTTTTCATGAAAAATCACTATAAATAACTGCTGAAACTTAATTGAATACACAATGTTAAATAGCTGTAAATATCTAACATAATATCCAAACAATAAATTTAATATAGGGTTACGACAAATGAAAAAGTGTAATGAAACTAGAAAAGTAAAATGATTTTCTGTGATGGAAAAAAAAGCGCCAAGTTACCTGTAACCTTCTGGGTTAGCCTGAAAAAAGCCAAGTTACCTGTAACCTTCTGGGTTAGCCTAAAAAAAGCGCCAAGTTACTTGTAACCTTCTGGGTTAGCCTAAAAAAAGCGCCAAGTTAACTGTAATCTTCTGGGTTAGCCTAAAAAAGGCCAAGTTACCTGTAACCTTCTGGGTTAGCCTAAAAAAAGCCAAGTTACCTGTAACCTTCTGGGTTAACCTAAAAAAAACCAAGTTACCTGTAACCCTCTGGGTTAGCCTCCCTGTCGAGTGACTCCGCGTCCTCGCTGGTGTGAACTATTCCAGTGTGTTCCATGCTGATCTGGAACACCTGGCGATCATTCCCACCAATGATGGTGTATATGATTTCCCCATTCATCCCACTGTCAGCATCACGGGCATACACCTGGTAGATAAACATTAGGGTAAGTAACAGCTTCAATAAGGTGGCCAAAAAGTTGCGCAGTGGAAAACTGAGCTACAGATAACTGAGCACGAAAAAGTGCGAAAGAGCATTTTTGTTTTCTTAAATCAAGGATTTGTAGACATTAATAAAGAGTGAATACATGTACAATGTCACATAATAAACACATTTCCACAAAATATGACAAAATTAAAGTGTGTTTGTATAATTAGTATAAGCGCATTTTTCTGTTTAGGCAGTTTCCCCTTGCAGTTTTTCAGATTTTGGTCATTTTTCTGGGAACTCTTTAATACACAGAAAATCACCTTGAAGATACAGATTAGGCTAAGTAACAGTTTTAATTCACAGAAAATCACCATGTAGATAAAGCTTAGGCAGAGTACAAATTTCATTTATATAAAAAGTTTCACCTTTTCAAACCTGACGGTGGCATCTGAAGTAGAATTCACCTGTTACTGTGACCTCGGCATACGAAGAGATAGTGTGTTCAGCACTTTACCTAGCAGTCTTTACTTTTCCCTAACGTGAGTTAAGTACCCATATGAGCTGGGTGGTCTCAGGGACACCCTACAGTCACAAGTCAGGAATCTAAACCTGGAGACTTTTCGGTTAGCAGCCACACAGCTACAATAAGACCACACAGCTCCACCATTATAAGGCTCAACTAACAAAAAAACCACTTGTAAAAACAAGGTAAAAACAAACGTACTTGTGTCACATATGTGGCGGTGTAGGCTGGGTTGTTCTCCCATATGGCAGACACGTATCTGGACTGTGAGAACCTGGGGACGTTGTCGTTGACGTCAGTTAAGTTAACCCACACTGTGCTGTAGGCGTACAGACTCCCGCTGGTTGCCATGACGATCAGACGGATGGATGGGTTTGTTTCATAGTCCAGCCGTTGTGAGTTCTGCACTGATATATGCCCTGGAATAGAGAACAGAGATGGTAAATACTTCTAGCGACAAGAATCTAATTAAATGATACATCACCATAACATTTACCTATGTTATCAATACATTTTTAAAATGAGTATACACTCTACTAAACTATAAACAGATACAAAAAATTTTTTTTTTAAATTACATACTCTGATCAACTATAAACAGTTACAACAATATTTTTTTAAAAAAATGTATACTCTACTAAACTATAAACAAATACAAAAAGAAGGTCAAAAGAAAAAAACATTTCTATTAAAAAAAAATCTGTAGTCATGACAACAGATGATCAGGTCATAATAACACACAGGAATAGGTAACAAAAAATTGGCCATGTAAACTCACCTGTGCCGTTAATTTTAAAAGCTCCGTTTTCATTCCCACTGGCGAAGCTGTAAACTGCAGTGGTGGAGGTGGGGGGGACAGTCTCTGTGGCCACCTGGACCACAGGGGTATTGACCGGGGAGTTCTCGTTGATCTGTGCTCTGTACTCAGGTGAGGTGAAGCGGAACGTGGTGCTCTCAGGTGAGCCAATGGTTATCTCAATCACACCTGTGGGTGTATAGGGGATTAATGGCTTGTAATTAGATCATGTGGCGTGAACGTGAAAAAGCTTGTATTACAAATGTATATATAATTTACAGATAATCTCAAGATAAGATATGATATAATATTCCCGAGTTACATTAATACAAATCTTCCCATGTTCAGTTATGTACTATATAAATAACACATCAACTGTATAGAGGACAAATGCAGTATGTCCAAGAAATCTCGAGAAAAAAAGTATCTCATTCCAATGTTAAAATAGTGTAAAATATTATGTTAACATGATAAAATATTTGCATTAAACATTTTAGACATTCTACATGAGTGATATGGTAGCTTTTTGTTTTTCCCAATATATGTACAATAAATGTTCACTGATTTCACAAAAATGTGGACATACTGTATTTGTCTTCTATACATCAGATATGATTAATCAATTGCTGTACAAACATATTTGTGTAATGTGTACATTCACCATTACATATATCATCATAGTAATTCTATACTCCTACACAAAGAAAAATGTAAGAAAAGTAGTTTTCTGAACTTTGTAGTCCACGTGGCAGGTGAAGTAGAGTTCACCCGTGCCAGTGACTACCGAATATGAAGGGATAGTGTATACAAAAACATACACATTAAAAAAAAATTATATTCATAGTTACAAAGATCCTTAACAAATATTTATCAAGACATAAAACCAAAATATGGAAAAGAACAGTAGAGGAAGAGGCTAAGACAGCTGGGCTCACCAAGGCACAGATAAAGGGAGCCGCCCAAAACTGAGTCTGCTGGACATGTGTAATTGCAGCCCTTTGCACCGCAGGGGCCGCAAAGGAAAGATGAAAACCAAATAAGTTATATTAAAAAATTAAATAAAAATCTGTAATCTAAATCAACGACAAGAAGACCATGCCGGGTCAAAGATTCACTGACCCGTGGAGGTTAGTCTGGATGATGCTGGGACAGCCAAATCTTTAGCAATGACGTTCAGCCTGTAGCGTCCAGGTACTGTAACTAGGGCATCACTTGTGAAAACCTCACCGGCTGAGCTGATTCTGAAATACTGAAGAATAAAAAACAAAAAACAATAGATGAGCAAACTTTACGCTAATTCTGAATTACGAGAATTATTTTTTTAAATATGCTAGAGAAAAAATATTTGATAAGTAAACTTCACGCTAATACTGAACTATGAGAATTGTTTTTTAAAATATGTTAGTGAACAAATGTATCACAAAAACATTTGATGAGTAAACCTCACGCTAATACTGAACTACAAGAATTGTTTTTTAATCTGAAATAGAGGAACTGAAAAACTGTTTATGTGAATGTACAGAAATTCCTTCTATTTTGAAAATACTTTGAATAAAATTTGCTGTAGTGTACATCTTTCTATAAATCTATGTATATTTAAATGTTAATTTGTAAACTATGCATAACAAATAAAAAATAAATAAAAAATTAAATATTCTAATTATTCAAGAGTTAAATCTATTATTCATAACTTTCAACAACAGAAAGATAATAATAAAGCCTCATACCTTAGTAATGTTGGAAGCATTGTCCCCATTGTCCAGTGAGTACTCCACCGTTCCATTGACCCCCAGATCTGGATCTGTTGTGGACACGGTCAGCACAAAACTGTTCTTGGGGGTGGTGGCATTGAGCCTGGCGGTGTACGGAACCATGGCGAACGTTGGAGCGTTGTCGTTGACATCAGTCACCGTGATCTGGATGCGGGCTGTTGTGTTTCTGGGTCCTGAACTGCCGCTGTCCGAAGCCATGATTGTGATGGAATACCTGTCCACTTTTTCCCTGTCAAACATTCTGAAAAGGCCAAAATAATAATTGTTTTGGTTATCGTCTTATCCACAGGGATCTAACGTTTAAATCAACAATTTTTATGGCACTACTAAACAACAATTTTTTTTTTAAATTTATGTTTTCCATTTGTATTTTGTAAATCTATTTTTTTTTTCAATTTAATTTTGTAACTAAGTGTCAATTTAAACAAAGGCCATGGTGTCTAGTATCGTAATTGTCATACAATACAATTTTATTTCACATCATCGAACAACAAAACCAATATTAATTAGAATTTCTTATTAGTTGGTTATATAAAATAATTGTTCAGATATTATCTAGATATTTTCAATAAAATAAAAGGATAGAAATTTCCTGATACAACAACATAAAATGAGAACAAAGCTTTTGTATACTGACACAAATAAGACCAAAATTTTCTCGCACATGCATACAAATGAAACCAAAATTTCCCTGTACACCAACACAAATGAGACAAAAAGTAAGAAATAACACCAATTAGAAAACAATTTCTGATACACAAACACAAATGAGACAAAAATTAATACAATACACAAATTAGAAAACATTTCTGATACACCAAAACAAATGAGAAAAAAATTCCGTCGCTCACCCGCTGGTGTAGATAACACCAGTAGTGCTGTTGATGTCAAAAAGTCCACCCGTTTCATTCCCCAGGGAGTACATGACCCGCCCATTTTCATTCAAGTCAGGGTCAGTGGCTCGTACATTGAGTACAACTGTACTGGGTTTGATGTCCTCTGGTATGCTGGCAGTGTATACCTGGTGGCAAAGGTCAACATTATTTATCATAGACAGGTAGGCTACGCATTTTTATATAAATCATGGTTCTCACAAAAAGAGCTAGTATAATCAGTTGTTGATGTATAAATCCAATAAGAGTTAAATCAACTTCATAAGAATATTTTAAAATCTGCTAATGATGTGAGAAGAAAATGTATACATAGCTTTTAGAAGTTTAGAATGTATTATATAATAGATTAATTTTAAATAGCAAAGAAGGCAGGTTTAAAATTGAAGAAAAATGCAAAAGATCTGATGGTAAATTACATGCCCAAATTGGGGCATAAAGAGAAATTAAACACCAAGCAATTAGTTATATAAAATGACAACTTCTAGGGAAGTTATTAAACTTAATACAAATGGTAGCTGCAGTGAGGTTTATGCAAATAGTAATAAAACTGGTAGTGTTAGAGTCCTTACAAATTCAAGACAATAAAAGGTAATTTATGAAGATAATAAAACTATTGTTATTTATTACTTTTTAAAAAAATAATAAAAACTTACCACTTGGTCAAAGCTGGGACTGTTGTCATTCTCATCCAACACAGTGACAATAACGTAAGCTGTGGCGGAGAGGGGCGTGGGGCCATGGTCCTGGGCGGTGATGGTCAGGTTGTACATGCCGATGGTCTCCCTGTCCAGGGGTTGGTTTGACAGGTGACCATGTTGAGGGTCAATGATGAAGCTGATGGAATCACCGCCTGCAAATAAAAAAAAATTGTTTTAATTTTTAATAATTAGTGATGAAATTATTATATAAATTAAGACTCCGAAATCCACACATACAACAAACTAATCAATAATTTAGTGACTTGTAAGTGATTACAAGATCAACAAACAGTATTTTTACTAGTTGATCATTAGAGAGAGATAAAATCGAGTTTAAATGTGGCTACTGCATATGAAATAGTCAAGAGATCTTTCAATCAGACAGAAGAGGGTATGCCTAAAAACATATGGAAATAGGCAAACAGGAAAGAAGAATCAGACTGAAGAGGGTATGCCAAAAACATATGGAATCAGACAGAAACCGATGTCTCTCTCTCACCTGTGATGGCATAAGTAACTCTGGCATTTTCCCCCACATCGCGGTCAGTAGCCACCAAACTTATCACAGAATTCTGAGCTCTGTTCTCCGGAATCTCCAGCCTGTACGTCTGCTCCTTGAAGATGGGAGGATTATCATTGATGTCCACCACTGTGATGACCACCCGGCAGGTGCTGAAGTAGAAGGGGTAGGCCCCGTCCTGGACGTAGACGGTGATGGTGTAGCTGTCCCTCTCCTCCCTGTCCAGCACAACTGTGTTTGTGATCTGGCCAGTCTTTGGGTCCACTGTGAACCTGTCCCCCACAATACCACTGGGTATCTGGTAGGTCAAGGCTCCATTGAGACCTGTAAATGAAGATCCAGAAATTTGATGTTTGTTTAAAATTAATATTTTATTATTTAAGCCTCAGTAGTCCAATTATTATTTTTTAATTAAAAACAACAAAGTCTGGGGAGTTGAGCATGTAATATTAATTTCAATATGATCATAATAGGCCTACCCACAATTCTTGAAAAATAATAGTCACACTACTAAGTTTTTAACGATATTGGAAAATTAAAAGGACTATGTTTTTAATGCAGAGATAAGAGTAAAAGTCAAAGTGTTACAGAATTAATTATAATAATCAAATAGCAATGAGGGCCTCGAGATAGATCAACACTAATATTATAATAAGTTGTGTCAAAAATAAAAGTTAACACTGAGTCAAGCTATAATAGTCTATCATTACACAAGAAAAGTTTGTCATATTATAAAATTTAGTTGTGGTGCTTTAAAAGTATGTGACCATGATTGTAGAACTCTGGCGTTACGCAATGAGTTAAAGGACAAACTGTCAGGGATGTTACCTGTGTCTGCATCCGTAGCTAGGACAGAAATTACTGGAGTTTTCACAGGCGAGTTCTCTGTAATGTTAGCATGGTAGGTGGACTGTTTGAAAACTGGGGAGTTGTCATTGGCATCTATCAAGGTGATGTACAGCTGTTTGTAGGTGACCAGTTTGGGCATGCCCATGTCTTCAGCACTGATGTTTAGATTGTAGCTGGCTTTAGTCTCATAGTCCAGTGCATCATTCAACTGTAGAGAACCTATAGGGAATATTTATAAAGACAATTAGATTATTACATCATTCAACTGCAGAGAACCTATTGGGAATATTTGAAGACATTAAGACCTGTTCATCATTCACAGTAGAGTACCTATAGGGAAAATTTCAAGACATTTAGACCAATACATCATTGGACTGTAGCTACCGTTATTTGTTTATATTTTTAGTACAATTGATGTTTATATGTTCTAAACAATATAGTGTACATCAAATGCTGTAAAACTAAAGGAATTATTCAAGGGATTCATATTTAGATATAAATTTATCACAAAAGACCAGAGTGAAATAATACTACCATGCCTAGCAATGTCATCGTTTAAAAAGTAGTATTAGTATTGTCATTATGTTTTTACAAGAGGGTGAATCTAGTTTGTGCATGTTTATATTGTCTTCACTAGATGTGATTTCCTTATTTTTATTTAACTTATTTTCAAAGAAGAAACTAAGGAATGTTTCAGCAAATGAGCCTTACATTCTATTATAGACAGCATGTTTTTAGACTAGCCCTAAAATCAGAGATTTTTAAAGACTGATGTGAACCAATCGGCCAGAACAGTTTATAAGTCAAGTTACCTGTCTCTGGATTCAGGTAGAACCTCCCGTCCTCATTCCCGGACACAATCCTGTACCTGACCAGGTTGTTGCCGCTGTTGTCCACGTTAGAGTCCTGGTCAATAGCCACTAGCACCCTCAGGACAAAGCCCACAGCCTCGTCCTCGGACACGCTCAGGTCAGGGATGGGGTCGAAGCGCGGGGCGTTGTCGTTGACATCCGTGACGAATATGATGGTGGTCATCTGCGAGGAGAGTGTGGGGGACGGGCAGGCGTCTTTGGCCACCACAATGACAGAGATTTGCTGGACCTGGGGAGGTGTGAGGACAACTTAATTAGAATGGTCATTGGTAAATACAAGCCATAAGTAAAATAAACAGATAATCAAGAATTATATGCCAGAAAATTGAAACAAGGAGGAAGTGGCGCTGGGTGGGTCACACACTACGAAAGGCTCACACAAATGTTACACGCCAAGCACTTGAGTGGAACCCCCAGGGAAAGCGGAATAGAGGGCGCCCAAGACAGACCTGGAGGCAGAGTCTTCTTGAAGAACTGAAGCCAACAGGGATGTCTTGGGAAATGACAAAATTAATAGCAGGGGATCGGAAGAAATGGAAGGAAATGGTGAAGGCCCTATGTTCCATAAGGAGCAAAGAGGACTAAGTAAGTAAATAAATTGAAATAAAGAACTGAGAGATTAAAGAAATACAACATCCTATCATCACCGTTTGATTTTTTTCTATAACCCTGTAACTCATGATTGGGTTAAAAGCTGTCAAAAAATTTCAAAGTGTCGGTTGGCTTTTCTTCTAAACACTCACCGTTTCATAGTCTATAACAGCAGAGATGTACATCTCCCCTGTGTCAGGGTTTATGGCCAGGTAGGAGTTGTCTCCCTGGCTGGAGGAATCAATGAAGTACTTGACCGTTCCGTTGATGCCGGAGTCACGGTCAGTGGCCAGGAAAGTGTGGATGACAGTGTTAAGGGGCATGTTCTCTGCGATGGTGCGTATGATGACCGGGTCCTGGTCAAACACTGGCGGGTTGTCATTCACATCTTTTATCTGGTGAAACGGCAGACAAATTGGTAAAAAAAACATCAGACAAATTGGTAAAAAAAACATCAGACAAATTGGTGAAAGGTGAAAAACATCAGACAAATTGGTGAAAGGTGAAAAACATCAGACAAATTGGTGAAAAACATCAGACAAATTGGTGAAAGGTGAAAAACATCAGACAAATTGGTGAAAAACATCAGACAAATTGGTGAAAAACATCAGACAAATTGGTGAAAAACATCAGACAAATTGGTGAAAAACATCAGACAAATTGGTGAAAAACATCAGACAAATTGGTGAAAAACATCACACAAAGTGGTGAAAAACATCAGACAAATTGGTGAAAAACATCAGACAAATTGGTGAAAAACATCAAATTGGTGAAAAACATCACACAAAGTGGTGAAAAACATCAGACAAATTGGTGAAAAACATCAGACAAATTGGTGAAAAAAATCAGACAAATTGGTGAAAAACATCAGACAAATTGGTGAAAAACATCAGACAAATTGGTGAAAAACATCAGACAAATTGGTGAAAAACATCACACAAAGTGGTGAAAAACATCAGACAAATTGGTGAAAAACATCAGACAAATTGGTGAAAAACATCAGACAAATTGGTGAAAAACATCAGACAAATTGGTGAAAAACATCAGACAAATTGGTGAAAAACATCAGACAAATTGGTGAAAAACATCAGACAAATTGGTGAAAAACATCAGACAAATTGGTGAAAAACATCAGACAAAGTGGTGAAAAACATCAGACAAATTGGTGAAATGAAGAAAAACTAATCATAATGAAAATAATTACTGTATGATATGATATAATACACATCAAATTAGTTAAACAAAAAAAATCTGAATATTAAAAGTTTGAATTAGTGCTTTTACCAATGCAAAAAAAAAAGTTTGAATAAAAAGAGTTAAGATTCTAAATATTCAATTAGAACAGACAAATAAAAATAACACAACTCACAAAGATGGTGACTGTTATATTACTGCTTTTGGGCCACGCTGCACTGTTATCCACTGCTTGTATATTTAGAGAATGGGAAGACGACTCCTCATAATCTATCTGTCTAACTGTGGTTATAACCCCTGAGCTCTGATTGACTGAAAAAGACCCGAAGACGTTTCCTCCGACCAGATAATAATTTATCTTCCCGTTCTCTCCAGAGTCCTTGTCCGTGGCTTTCACCTGTCCGACAAACGTGCCGATGCTGACGTTCTCGACACAGTTGAAGCTGACGTTGCGTGCTTGGAACAGCGGCGCCTGGTCGTTGACGTCCAAGATGGATATGGTCAGTGGTTGGGATGAGCTGCGGGGTGGGAGGCCGTTGTCCTTAGCAACGATGGTCAGGTGGTAAACGGTCTTGGTCTCGTAGTCAAGAACCTCCCTTGTGGAGACTCTGCCGGATGTTGGGTGGACCTCAAAGTTTGACATGGCGGATTGCTCGGATTTGGCTGAAATTATAAAAATAATAAATGTTTTTTTTAGCATTGTAGGAAAAAGAAAACAGTGAAGGCTAAGCGAGATGTGTAGGGACACAGCAGTAAAATAACTGAGAAGACCACGGACTATCTTGAGGAACTGATAAGAAAATGCCAAGATCAACAACAGTGGAAAGAGCATTCTTCGTCGGCCCCAAATAAGAAGATTTTGTTAGCTGTGACTATATTGGCCTGAGTTTTTTAAGAGGGGACTGATTATTATGAGTTGAATGAAGTTTTTATTTATTTTTGGTTTGTAGTAGAGGTGCTTTGTTTAAGGGACCAAGTTGGCTTGACTAGATTAATACACAAGGTCTCTTGATTGTGTGCCCTGTTGTGAGACATTGTAATAAGTTTAATGAGGAAAATAGTCGTTTTACTATTAAAAAATTTACTATTGGCAGTGGGTGGTATCATGATTGGTTAGGATTAGGTATAGAGTTCATATAAAGGCTAAGTTCTCACAAAGAAATAAAGTTTATTATAGCTGAGTCATCACAACCCCAGTGTCTTACCTGCATCAAAGTAGTAGGTGACTCTTCCATTCTCTCCCTCGTCAGGGTCTAAGGCAACCAGTGTGGTCACCACCGTCCCTTTTGGCCTGTTCTCTGAGATATTGGACGCGAAGGGCCCCTGCCTTTGAAACATGGGATCATTATCATTCTGATCTTGAACCTTCACCTTCACCTTAGTCTGAGCAGTCCTTGAGATGTTCCCGTTGTCTGACACGTATACTGTGAGAACATGCTCGGCCACCAGCTCACGGTCTAGCGAAACCTGGGTTCGAATCTCACCAGTTTTCGAGTTGATTTTAAAGTAGTTTTGTACATTATAGAAAAAGAACTGCAGATCGCCATTGGGGCCAATGTCCTGATCTGTGGCAACTACTTGACCTACAAGGCTATCAGCCACGAGGTTCTCTCGAATAGAGAATCTGTACTCATCCCTGGAAAAAACTGGGTCGTTATCATTGACGTCTGTGACAATTATCCTGACAAGTGCCGTGGATGACAGCTGAACCGGGCTTCCGTGGTCAACCGCTTGGACAGTTATCTCATATGTGTCGTGGAGCTCCCTGTCCAGTAAGTCCCGCGTCCAGACTTTACCGTCCACTGGAGATATCCCAAACGTGGAGCCGTAGCGGTTATTTCTAAAAGAGAACGTGATCTTCTTGTTGTTTCCAGAATCTTCATCTGTGGCCTTGACCTGGTTGATGGTGGACCCAATGTCAACGTCCTCGGGAACATAAAACAAGTAAACAGCTCTGTCAAACACTGGAGGATTGTCGTTGATATCCTTGACCTTCACCGTCAAAGTCAAGTTTGCGCTAAGCTGTTTGGGCGTGCCCATATCTTCAGCGATGACAACGATGAGGTACTTGTTGATCTTCTCGTAGTCCAGCATCTTCTTCAGGGTGATCTCGCCGGTGACAACGTTGATGGCGAAGGTGTCGGTGGTTGTGTCGACCAGCCGGTACCTGACAGTACCGTTGTTCCCCATGTCCAGGTCGACGGCGCGTGCCACGTACAGCGAGGTGTTGGCTGCCTCGTCCTCTCTGATCTCCAGCTCCAGCATGGTGGTGGCTGGGAATGTTGGGGCGTTGTCGTTCACATCCAAAATGGTGATGTTGACCTACAGAAGTAGAGAACAAATTTTTTTAGTGATGTCTTGAAACAGCATTAGGATTACAGACAGACGGCTCCAATTGGTGTTATGTGGACTGATATAATAGTTAATGTGATGATGAATGTCAAACTGGATGGTGACTGATATTTGGCATATATTATATCGATAAAAATCTCACTACGGTTGACAAGTGAAGTCGACTGAAATTTCAAAGACTGAGATATGATGTCAACTGACATTTTAAGGGCAGAGAAATTATAACGAAACGAACATTTACAGCCAACTTTAAAATTAAAACAGGTAGGAAATTAATTAAATGGCAAGTTTAAAACATTTTGGTTAAAGAAGAAAAAAATCACCTGAGCTACAGCATACACAGGTGGGAACCAGGCAGAAGCCTGAATACTGATGACCACAAATGGGCTGCTCTCTCTGTCCAGAGCAGATCTGGTTGAAATGGCGCCTGTATTTTCATCCACCTTAAACCAATCCACTGTCTGGAATGTGATGCTGTATGTTATAGCTGAAGAAGAAGAGGAGAAATTCAACCCTGTTATTTCATCTAGGACTGAATTTGTGAATGATTGTAACAATTTAACAAATGAAATGTTTTAAACATCTGAATATAAACACTCTCAACAAGATAACATTCAAAACTAAATTTTTTACCAAATTTTACATTATGTCAACACATACATACTTCAACATATTTTTATTAAATTTAATATTACATAAACAAATTTAACAACAAAATTAAAGGTATTTTCTGGTTATTCCAGGTGGAAATTGTAATTTTCATGAAAAAAAAAACTTTAAATATTTTTTTGTAAGTTTTTTAATCAATCTTTTTCATTAAGATGTTTTGGTGAAAAAATCTTCGCCAATGGGAAAAGAAAGTTTTTGGTGGAAAAGAAAAGTTACAAATCTGAATATATGAGCAAATGGCAATTAAGTGCTACAGGCTACAGGGCCTTACCTGTGGATCCACCTGAACCATCCAGATTTGCCTCCACCCTGCCCACCATCTGGTTCAGACCAGCAGCCTCTGTGATGGTGAAGTTGTACATGGTTGGGGTGAAGATGGGAGGGTGCTCGTTACCACTGATGACACTAATGGTGACCGCAGCATTCTCCTGTGAGGTCAGCCCTCCTCCGTCAGTGGCACGGACACTCAAGACAGACACTTTATCAGTCAGGCCAGGTTTTAAAGATATGGTACCTGCAAAATGACCAATGATTAAACACTCTCATCAACAGTATATAACAATTCAATTGCATTAACAATAAACCACTTATTTTTTAATTAATCTCTTATAAAGAAAACATTTTTTAAGAAAAGAGGCTTATATTACATTCACAAATGAAAAAATGCACTAAAAGTAAACAATAAATTTAGCTTGGTGTAGCCTTTCCACCAGGTTTTAAAGGGGTAACTTACCTGTAGTTTGGTTAATGCTGAAGTACTGAATGTTGATAAATTTAGTTTAGGTTACCTGTAGTGGTGTTAATGCTGCAGTACTGGATGTTGATAAATTTAATTTTGGTTACGTGTGGTTGGGTTAACTAGTTTAGGTTACTTATGGTTGGGTTCATGCTGAAGTACTGGATGTTGATAAATTTAGTTTAGGTTACCTGTAGTTGGGTTAGCTAGTTTAGGTTACCTGTAGTTGGGTTAGCTAGTTTAGGTTACCTGTAGTTGGGTTAGCTAGTTTAGGTTACCTGTAGTTGGGTTAGCTAGTTTAGGTTACCTGTAGTTGGGTTAGCTAGTTTAGGTTACCTGTAGTTGGGTTAGCTAGTTTAGGTTACCTGTAGTTGGGTTAGCTAGTTTAGGTTACCTGTAGTTGGGTTAGCTAGTTTAGGTTACCTGTAGTTGGGTTAGCTAGTTTAGGTTACCTGTAGTTGGGTTAGCTAGTTTAGGTTACCTGTAGTTGGGTTAACTAGTTTAGGTTACCTGTAGTTGGGTTAACTAGTTTAGGTTACCTGTAGTTGGGTTAACTAGCTTAGGTTACCTGTAGTTGGGTTAACTAGCTTAGGTTACCTGTAGTTGGGTTAACTAGTTTAGGTTACCTGTAGTTGGGTTAACTAGCTTAGGTTACCTGTAGTTGGGTTAACTAGCTTAGGTTACCTGTAGTTGGGTTAACTAGTTTAGGTTACCTGTAGTTGGGTTAACTAGTTTAGGTTACCTGTAGTTGGGTTAACTAGTTTAGGTTACCTGTAGTTGGGTTAACTAGTTTAGGTTACCTGTAGTTGGGTTAACTAGCTTAGGTTACCTGTAGTTGGGTTAATGCTGAAGTACTGAATGTTGATAAATTTAGTTTAGGTTACCTGTAGTTGGGTTAACTAGCTTAGGTTACCTGTAGTTGGGTTAACTAGTTTAGGTTACCTGTAGTTGGGTTAACTAGCTTAGGTTACCTGTAGTTGGGTTAACTAGCTTAGGTTACCTGTAGTTGGGTTAACTAGTTTAGGTTACCTGTAGTTGGGTTAACTAGTTTAGGTTACCTGTAGTTGGGTTAACTAGCTTAGGTTACCTGTAGTTGGGTTAACTAGCTTAGGTTACCTGTAGTTGGGTTAACTAGTTTAGGTTACTTGTAGTTGGGTTAATGCTGAAGTACTGAATGTTGATAAATTTAGTTTAGGTTACCTGTAGTTGGATTAGCTAGTTTAGGTTACATGTAGTTGTGTTAGCTAGTTTAGGTTACCTGTAGTGGGGTTAATGCTGAAGAACTGGATGTTGTTTCCACTGATGATGGAGTAAGTGACCGTCCCAAAGACTCCGCTGTCCCTGTCTCTTGCCTGCACAGTGACCAGTGGGCCTGGAGGGGCGTCAGCCATGATGTTGATGGAGTAGACACGGGGTTCAAACCTCGGGTTGTTGTCATTGATGTCAGTGATCTCAACCTGGATCACTGCCTGGCTTGTGAGGTTGTCTGTGGGGTAGAGAGGGTGGTTGTTAGGTTGTCTGTGGGGTAGAGAGGGGGGTTGTTAGGTTGTCTGTGGGGTAGAGAGGGTGGTTGTTAGGTTGTCTGTGGGGTAGAGAGGGTGGTTGTTAGGTTGTCTGTGGGGTAGAGAGGGTGGTTGTTAGGTTGTCTGTGGGGTAGAGAGGGGGGTTGTTAGGTTGTCTGTGGGGTAGAGAGGGGGGTTGTTAGGTTGTCTGTGGGGTAGAGAGGGGGGTTGTTAGGTTGTCTGTGGGGTAGAGAGGGGGGTTGTTAGGTTGTCTGTGGGGTAGAGAGGGGGGTTGTTAGGTTGTCTGTGGGGTAGAGAGGGGGGTTGTTAGGTTGTCTGTGGGGTAGAGAGGGGGGTTGTTAGGTTGTCTGTGTGTTGTATAAGGTGGTTGTTAGGTTGTCTGTGTGGAAGATAAGGTGGTTGTTAAGTTGCCTGTGGTGTAGAAAGAGTGGTTGTTAGGTTAGCTGTGGGGTAAAGAAACAGGGTTGTGGTTAGGTTGGCTGTGGGGTGGAGAAACAGATTTGCACTTCACAATAAAAACGTTCTTAACATAAAATACAATGAAAAGATTGCATCAATCAAAATAATTTTCAGGCAAAAATTCATATAAAACAGTAATACCAGAGGCCTCTTAATTCCACTTTACTTTGAGGAAAGACATAAACATTAAAAAAATATCCAACAACTTTTAAACAATTATTAAAAAATTTATATAAAAGTTAAAAGAATGAAACAATTTAATCACATCAAACTGTCAGCAAGCCAAAATATAAAAACCTTATAGATTTTGAAAAAAAAACCCACATGTATCTGAGAAAACTTTTTAATAATAAAAAAAAAAGGCGAATAAGCACAAACATATTTCAGAGATAAGAAATTAGAAAGCAACTTTTTTATGGAATGGGAAAAACAATCACAGTGACAGCTAGCTAGCCATGTTAATTACACCTTAATTAACAGTAGCTTAATTAAAGGTGCCTATCATTTAAGATCTACTGCCTGAGGTCCCACCACATGCAGGAAATATGCAATGGTGTAAGGCAAAATATCAGGGTTTACTCAGGGTTTACAAGAGGGTTTGGTGATATAAGACACAGGGTTTAGTCAGGGTTCAGTGAGGTGAAATTACATGTTTCAGTTTAGTAAGACATTAGCATGGTTCAGTAAGACAGGGTTTAGTGAGATGAGATAACAGGGTTCAGTCAGACAGGGTTTAATGAGATGGGATGACAGGGTTCAGTCAGTCAGGGTTCAGTTTGTTGAGACGGTTCAGTACTGTGTGACACAGGGTTCAATACTGTGTGACACAGGGTTCGGTACTGTGTGACACAGGGTTTGGTACTGTGTGACACAGGGTTCAATAATGTGTGACACAGGGTTTGGTACTGTGTGACACAGGGTTTGGTACTGTGTGACACAGGGTTTGGTACTGTGTGACACAGGGTTCAATACTGTGTGACACAGGGTTTGGTACTGTGTGACACAGGGTTTGGTACTGTGTGACACAGGGTTCAATACTGTGTGACAGGGTTTGGTACTGTGTGACACAGGGTTCAGTACTGTGTGACACAGGGTTCAATACTGTGTGACACAGGGTTTGGTACTGTGTGACACAGGGTTTGGTACTGTGTGACACAGGGTTCAATACTGTGTGACACAGGGTTTGGTACTGTGTGACACAGGGTTTGGTACTGTGTGACACAGGGTTTGGTACTGTGTGACATAGGGTTCAATACTGTGTGACACAGGGTTTGGTACTGTGTGACACAGGGTTCAGTACTGTGTGACACAGGGTTCAGTATAGCAATTCAAAATTTCAAACACCCCACCCTGCCCCCCAGCAGAACAGAAACAAGAATAAACTGGTAAGAAAAACGTATCCAGTTAACAGGTGAGTAATTAAGTCAAGCCACATTAATAACCTCCTAATTAGCAAACCCTACTAATTAGTAAGGCTGTTAAACAGCATGGGAAAAATTTTTAAGCCTCATGATCTGACTCTCTGAAATTGCCAGTTGAAAAGTTATTAAGGAATGGGGAGGGGGGATACAATGACACAGAGGGGGGGGGGAGAGATCCTATGTTTTATGCATTAAACGCCCACCTTTCCCGCCCCCTCACCTTCAGGTGAAATGTGTTTGTCTAACAAAATAGAATGAACCAGAGGTTGTAGCCAAAAGCAGATTCAGAGCAAGAGAATACTAAGTAACAAACTGAGACTTATTGATTGATGACAACATGCAGATACAACATTTGTGCACTGAATCTCAACACATCATAGACTGTATTTGCAATAAAGGTTTCAAATACAAACATTCTGTCTATTAAATGTCAATTATTTTCTCCTTTTGAAAAACACAGTTTTCTATCACATCTGACACATTCAGCAAAGGAACAAATATGTCTATTTATGATAAGACTTAGTCTACTTCACTGGGTTTAATTGACCAGACTTTGTTTATGACAACTATTGCTTTAGGGTAAAAGGATATTGCTATTTGGTTCCATGACAAATGATGATCTCAGGACAAATGATCTCAGACAAAATATCTCAGACAAAATATCTCACGGACAAATGATCTCAGGACAAATGATCTCAGGACAAATGATCTCAAGGACAAATGATCTCACGGACAAAAGATACCAGGACAAAATATATCAAGACAAATGATACCATGGACAAAAGATCTCAGACAAAATATCTCAGACAAAATATCTCACAGCAAAATTTTAATAGTGTATACGATAATTTTAGTTGTTTTGAACATTTTTTATTGATTGGCATGTGGTTTTGTTTATTTTTTTACACATAATAATTGTGGGTAAAATAAATTTGGCAAACTTAACAAAACATCACAAGATTTATTAAACTTAATTTTTGTAATAGCAGATCTTCAGGTTTCTAACGTAAAACCATTGTTTTTATTGCATAATCAACACAAATATAATGCTTACGTTTCTTTGCTGACAATCGTATGGCTATGATCACACCTATCCAATAATATGTGATCGTCTACTATTGTGTGAACTCTTGCTCGACATAAATTCACTAGAAACTAAGTTCCTATAACCTTTCTACGATGTAACGTAAGAGGTCATAGCTGAGTAATCACCACTAATACTGCTTTGTTTGCATACACAATATGACGAACTTTGCTCCGCGATGACCGCTGTCGTTTAAATAAGCATTTGTCACCTGATCACTAAGGTGTGACCGACGCATAACTATTGACTAGTTGTATTGTCCATGGAGGGCGGATGTCTTTCCAATAAGGCATGTCTCTGCTATCAAAGCGGGCGGCCACCTTGATACGAAGGTGTGTCTTTATTGTTATTTCATTCCCCTTGATATAGTTTCATCAACCTGACATGGTAGGTTTGTCTCATGTTTTGCAAGCCCACCTATGCTATCTATAGAACAATTTCTTTAAACTTCGCATACTATATTAGTAATCTTAATTTTAAAATGTTTAGTGGAATGTGACAAATTTATGCGGCAAACATTTCTTACAATTATTAAATTGGCCTATAAACAAAATTAAATTTAAAAAACCAATATGAAAAAAAAATTCAGATCAACTAAAATCATCCTACACACTATTAAAATTTTGCTGTGAGATATTTTGTCTGAGATATTTTGTCTGAGATCAATTGTCCATGGTACCATTTGTCCTGATATATTTTGTCCTGGTATCTTTTGTCCGTGAGATCATTTGTCCTTGAGATCATTTGTCCTGAAATCATTTGTCCTGAGATCATTTGTCCGTGAGATATTTTGTCTGAGATATTTTGTCTGAGATCATTTGTCCTGAGATCATTTGTCCTGTCACCTGCTATTTTGGTAAATTATATGTGGGGATGGTGTGGCATAGTGGTAGAGTACTAGACTACTAGCCAACAGTTTTGAATTTGAATCCCTGATCAAGTCAGTAGAATGTCCCTGAGTTCACCCCAATCTGAAGAGTGCCTTACCTTTGTTAAAGAAAGTAAAGGCTGGGCATTGTGATGACCACACTATCCCTTTATATTCCAAGTTCACAGAAACAGGTAAACTCTACTTCACTTGCCCCATGGAGCTTCAGGTTCTAAAAGGGGACCTAACTTTTTTATTATATGTGATAAATGCAGCACAATTTAGAAAGTATATTGGTCAATACACAAGCTTTAAACTGACCAACACAGACTGTAAACACTGACCAATTATCTGACCAGCATTTGGCTCAATTATACACTGACCACCAGCCCACACAAAGAACTCACCTGAATCCACCGCCTCCACTTGGAACTGGTACGACGTGGCCACCTCGTAGTCCAGCACCCCCTGGACACAGATGTCCCCGGTCAGCGAGTTCACCCTGAACTCTTTGAGAGGCGCCAGCATGTTGCCCATTCTGTAGGTCACCTGAGAGTTGCCACATTCTGGATCCGTTGCTGATACCTGTGGATATCAAATACAGGTGATATTAAATACAGGTGATATCAAATACAGGTGACATCAAATACAGGTAGTATCAAATACAGGTGATATCATATCAACTACAGGTGATATCATATCAACTACAGGTGATATCAAATACAGGTGATATACAATACAGGTGATATAAAATACAGGTGATATCATATACAGGTGATATCATACACAGGTGATATCATATCAACTACAGGTGATATCAAATACAGGTGATATCAAATACAGGTGATATCAAATACAGGTGATATCAAATACAGGTGATATATCAAATACAGGTGATATCAAATACAGGTGATATCAAATACAGGTGATATCAAATACAGGTGATATCAAATACAGGTGATATCAAATACAGGTGATATCAAATACAGGTGATATCATATACAGGTGGTATCAAATATTTACAGATAAAAGTTATAGAAACAGTAAAAATAGCATCAGATGGTATAGAATAGTTAACTTGCAAACATAGTCAAGAAGTTAAAATCAGTAGGCCTATAGTAATCTAAGTATGAAGTTTCAAATAGCATACAACACTAGATTAAAATAATAATAATAAAAGAAATATAATTTTTAAAAATAATTCACGATTTTTCATTGTAGAGGTTTCTTTCAGTTTAATGTTTATTAATGAGCATTACCTCCCTCCCTCCCCATCCCCCACTCCAACTGAAGTGAATATTAAACAGCTGGGAGCGCTCAAGAACATCGCATAAACTAGAGCTGAGAACACTCAGCACACGATCTGCCCCTCGGTCAAGTCGTCCCCACGGTACAGGGAAAGTTACAGAGGCGGGGCACTACACTGAACACACACTGTAATTAACACGCCATGGACAAGTAATCAGGTGAATTCTACTTCAACTACATCGTGACATGTATTTAGCTATCCTTATTTTCCCGCTATGCAAATATTCTGTTCGTTTGAAATTAATACATTCAAAAAATACGTGGGGGTGATGGGCGTCTTGTGTCTTCTACGAGGTTTAGAGAACATCAGTCAATCAACAATCGTCCAAAAACCCTTCAGGGGTGGAGTTGGGGGGGGGGGGGTGTCAATGGGGCAATACAGTTTAATTTCTCATACATTTTTGTCATCGTTCTTGGTCTTTGCTGCTTTAGGCAATACTGCAACGGGCAGCTTAGTCTATTCCTTAATGTACTCCATAGTCGCTCCCCCCCCCCTTATTTCGTCTATGTCTTCCTCGCATTCTCCCTTATAGCACTGTGCCTTGCATGACTGTGATTTACCGTTGGGTTACATTCCTCCAAACCATATGCGTTTGTTTGCTATGAGGATACTTAACAAAGCCTCAAATGGACCAATCACAATGGTGATTTTTTTCACTAGTCAAAGAGAATAAACTCGGTAACTTTTCTCTTGCGTTACTCTTAACACACTCTATGATGCATCAAACTTGATTATCACAAGCCACCGTTGTGCGCCCAGGGGAGTTGGTAAAATGACGTGAACTTGAACGCCCTGCTCACTGTTCACGAACAAGTGACAGCGTGTGACTTGTACTTGCAGCATGTGTGACGTGTACTTGCAACATACCCCAGACCTTGATGAGAGGTTCACACAAACCCCCAAAATACCCCGGTGGGCTGTGATGAGATCAATGATCCAGACCAATCAAGACAGACAATGGCGCCCAAATGACGAGCTCCATGACTCAGGGAAAAATATTAAAAAGGTGGGGGTGGGGGAGTCTACAAAGTAAGCCTACACGGGGAGTCATGCGTGTAGGACCGCTGAGTCGTGACGATTTGTATCACACAATCTACGGGAGGTGGAAAATATTTCAAACAGTGGGAGGGGGACGGGGGTTTAGGAGAGAAGCAAATCGCCCGAGGGTGAATGGTGGTTTTAAATTAACACTGGGGCTGACTGTTAGGTCTGGTGTGTTGCGTGTATTTTACGAAAAACTTTTTAGATCGTACTGAAACATGTTACGTGTGATCAGGATGTTGCTAGGGGATTCGTAATGTCTCTTACCCATGCTTTACGCTGTCAGTGACCCATGATTTGCGCTGTGCTTCATGCTTGTCTGTGCCCATGGTTTATTGTGACCCATGTTTTACACCGTCAATGACCCATGTTTTACGATGTCAATGACCCATGTTTTACACCGTCAATGACCCATGTTTTACGATGTTAATGACCCATGTTTTACACTGTGACGTGACCCATGTTTTACACTGTCAATGACCCATGTTTTAAACCAGGGGTCTCCAAACTACGGCCCGCGAGGTCCCCTCATCCGGCCCGCGGAGATCTTTTTTGTCCACGGAAAAAACGTTTGTTGGTGATGGCTGAGGAACTTTGCCCGGAAAAATCAAAGACATGCCTGGAAGAAACTGGCCCCCGAACTGAAATTTGATAGTCAATGCGGCCCTCGGACTGAAAAGTTTGGAGACCCCTGTTTTAAACCGTCAATGTGTTAGGTCTGTCAAGCACCGTTTAACTGTGTCCCATGATTTACTCCTGTAGTCCATATTGTAGGCTTTCTATGACCCATGTTTTACTCCGACCCATGTTATACTGTCACCATGCTTCACCCCATCCACATACCAAATTTCCCGTTTCCTCCGTGTCCCCCAGTCTTTCACCGAGCCTGTTTGTTTTCCTTAGGGTGGCGCCCCCACGATTTTAGCGGTGACAAACTCCCTCCATATAATCCGTAGTGACGATCCCCCCGTAACAAATTGTACCTGAATAGAGACAATCCAAACGCGCCCCACCGCTAGTTTTTAACGCACTGGTTGACCATAAAACCCTATTGTAAGCCACGCCATCAGCCCCTAGTGTTCGATTGTCCGCTAGGTGGCGCCACCGAAAGAGGATTACACCCGTGCCTTTTGTCCGGTTAATTATTTCCCTTTTGGAGCCGTGAATTTCAAGGCATAGGGCGCTGCGGCGTCGCGGATTTCGCGTGTTTTTTTTTACCACCGTGTTACATTTAACGTCTGGGACTGGTGTAGTCGTCTGCCATGCTTCCTCACGACTCTCACCCCTCCACCCGGCTATAACACCCCTCCACCCCCAACATAACCAAGGTTAAAAAAACTACCAGCATATTTTTGCAGATCGACTTTCCTTCGGTGGTTGTTGTTTCGCTACGTTTACCTACAACTGAGATGAGCCATACACCCCCCCACCCTTTTCCCTTCTTTTCTCCCCCCCCCCCGGTGAAATTATCGAACATATTTCAGAAGAAGAATACCGCGTTATTTTACCTCTATACGGTGAAGGGGGTGAAAGGGAATCCCATTACAAAAACAGAGGTGCGGATTAAGGGTACACAGAGAGAGTAGAGTAAAGCAAACAGAACGGTTAAAGGGAAAAATAACTCATAGTCTAGCGGGTTTTGAAACGGTTTTTGTTTACATATGTTTTTGTTAAGGTAATAGCGCTGTGTTAGCCGGGGGGGGGGGGGAGGGGTTGTTTAAAATTGTGTGTACACAAACGAATGTTTTTATAATCAAATTGTGTACCGGTCTGTGAACATCTGTTTTTTTTTTTTTTTAATAAAGCGGGAGTGAGTTCCCCTGAACTTTCAGGTACATTCGTAACTAACAGAAAAAAGTTGGGATAGCACTTTAGTGGTAGCGGAAATCGTAGGTAAATGTGACTTCTTCTTCTTTGTTCTTAATTTTAGTATTGGAAGGGATCCCCTCCAACACAATTAAGTATACGAGTCAACTGGTTATGCGCCATTGAGGCCATTGACTCCGATTTCAGCCTGCTATTCTTTTTGGATTTGCTTCCATAGCTTTTGTCCAAGCAAGAACAAATTACAAGGCAGCAGTTGTTTGATTTTGGAGCCTCATCTGCCCGAGGGTTTGAACTCGAGACTTTTCGATTTAGCAACCATGTGACAAAAACAAGCCTTGTTTACGAAAACACATGAAGACGAAAAGTTAACATTATCCAAACACTGAGATATACATACAAACAGACAAAATAGCAAAAACTTTTTTTTCCGATTATGAAGGGCGTTAAAATTTGTCAAAAACTCATTTTTTTTTTTCAAGTTTACAGTACTTCCCCCTATATTCAATATACCAGAAAGTAAATGTGTTTGTGAAAAAAAAAAGCTTTTTGTGAACACACTATGTCTGTGAAAATTGTTTGCATATAGCTAGTTGGTAAATAAACTTTGCTTATGTTACGTTAAAAGGCATTCCGTCGTCCGATCCATAGACGGAAGACTAAAAGCATTCAAATCCTATACATCAGATTTTAAAGACAAGTGTAATTTTTTTTTTTTTAAATCTACGTGATACATACTACATACATGCGTTGAAGATATAAATCTTCTAAAATATGTTGGTTGATATTTTCTTTTTTTAATAAAACTAGCGATACTCCGTAGGGCCGACCCTATTCGTTCTTATACATCTAGCAACAACTATCCGAATTTAAAAAACGTGATCTTTTATTTATGGTTCAGTATCTAGGGCAGGGGTTCCCAACCCTGTGCCCGCGGGCGCCATGACGCCCGCTGAACGATTCGTATGTGCCTGCCTCTCACTATTCGACAGAATTTTTTTCATAAACATTATTTTAAAATATGATTTATTTTTATTCATCTGTTACAGTTTTAATTTTTTTTGACTGCCTAGGTTTATTAAATATGTTCGATACTTGTCCCAACTTGTCTAGCGGCGAGCCAGACTGCACTATTTACGCTAGCTTGGAACGGCTAGTGCCATTTGAATCATTTTTCGGTTTGACATATTTATGCGAATCATTGTTTTCAAACATGAACTTAATAAAATCAAGATATAGATCTCGACTCACCGATGAGCATCTTTATGATTGTCTGCTAACGGGATTATCGTCATACGCTCCTAATTATGAAGCTCTGGCCAATGAAATGCAATGCCAAAGATCACATTGACTTTATTATATTTTTTAATTAAATGTTTTCTTTGTATGTATGTGTTTTGTTTACTTTCTT